TCAACAGGACATCCAATCAACAAGCTGGAAGTCGAAGGGGCGAATCAAAACTGGTCACTTCTGCCTGACCGCTCTGGTCCTGGTCGCCCAAAGGCTTTCTCATGTGCAAACAGTTTCTGCGAAACATATCCAAGCCGCGTAGTAGTCAGACAAATCCTGGCAAAGGCTTCAGCATGTGATGACACTCAGACAAACTGTTCACAGCCCCTGATATGCCAAACGCACTGATTGCCAAGTCACGTGATGCAGGCGACGCCGCGGACACCACTTGAGCCAAATGCAACCCGAAGTGTCATGGCAACCTGGTAGAGTTCACCTAGCTCAGCTCAAAACCGGGTCGCCTCTCTGTTTGCCTTCGCCCACCTTCATGGCGTGGTGCCCCCAAACACCCGCCACTCCCCTTCCGCCCTGACAAGCTTAAACCAACCTACCTTGAACCGCAGCATGACTGTGGGTGCGGGGGGGGGGGGTAGGGATGTGGCTGTCCGCAGCCAGCCCAATGGACAGGGGAAATCCGCCGACCCCTTGTCCCAAGGGCGAGTGACATCATTATCTCATGATGAGAAGATGATAGTCATCTCGTTTAGCAGCATCAAGGTGACAGATGATATCAGATGTAGGATTCTAAGCTATTGTGACATAACGAACAACAGCTTCGGAGCAGAACCAAGCAATTCAATAAATTATGTCCTTTTGAGTGGATTGACCTTTGGATATTTATCTTCTATTTTGTGTCGGATTCGGATGTCACGTTACAGACTTTGTACTTTGGATTTGGATGTCGCGCAAGAGACTTGCCATGCTGGGGAAAAGAAACGTAGATCGGATTGGGATGTCCACAGCTTCGGAGCAGTACCAAAAACTCAATTAGTTATGTGCTTCTGATTGGATTGACCTTTTGGATTCTTGTCCCACGTTTAGCAGCATCAAGGTGAACAATTACATTAGAAAAAGGATTCTGAGCTGTTGTGGCATAACGAACAACAGCAGTGGGGCAGTACCAAGCAATTCAATAAATAATGTGCTTTTGATTGGATTGACTGTTGGATGTTCGTCCCACGACGTCCAATCAATTGATATTGGCATTTTATGTCGGATTTGGATGTCACTTTAGAGAGTGTGGCTAAAACTCTGCTGTCGCATGAGAGAGCGTGGCTAGTATAATGTATATAGGAGTCGGATGTCGCACGTTAGAGACTTGCAATGTTCGGGGAAAGATAGGATTCGGATGTCGCGTTAGAGACTTGCAATGCTAGACATTTGTATACGTATCCGGATGTCACCTTAGGGGCTTTGAAAATAAAATTCGCGTTAAAACATTTAAGGGGAAAGAAACGTTAGACAATTCATTTTGTGCTATAGACAACTGATATGTTTGGTCGGGTTGGGAGCAACTGTAAGTTTATATCACTTCAAGCGTCCTCCAAACTTCATGGGGAGGACACTTCGTGTGGCTAAAATATTGATGATGTTAGAGATCGGATTCTAGACTATTGTGACACAACGAACAACAGCTTCGGAGCAGTACCAAGCAACTCAAGTAATTAATGAAGTATTTTTGAGTGGATTGATCTTTGGATGATCGCCCCGCATAGCCACGTCCTCCAATCAACTGATGCTGATATTCATTTTTTGCGTCGGCTTCAGTGTGGCTCACATATTGTATTTTGTTAGAGACGTGCCATGCTGGGGGAAAGAAACGTTCGACCATTAATTCTATTTTAGACAGCTGATACCTTTTTGTCGGGTTGGGATGTCCACAGGTTCGGAGCAGTGCCAAGCAATTCAAAAATTACCTGCTTTTGACTGGATTGACCTTTGGATGTCCGTCCCACTACTACAAAAGCCAGAAAGACATCCAATCAATTGATATTCAAATTTTGTGTTGCTAGGTTCTTGCATACGGATTTTGGATGTGACGCTCGGAACTTGCAATACTAAAGACTTTCTGTAGAGACATTGTATATACAGATTCGGCCGTGACGTTAGAGACTTGCAACGCTAGAGGCACGAATCTGAAATCTTGCCAAACATGATTTGTCGGATTCGCATGTGGTCTCCACCAAGAACTCTGAGTTCCGCGACCCGGGCAGCCCACCCCAGGCACCCACAGAGAGGGGTCGCCACAAGCACGTCATTACGGGTCGGCGGCACACAACCACAAATCCGGCCGGCCAACTGGCCGAACGGCTGTGTCAGATCCTCCTTCTTGGTCCTTTGGAACAAGGCTCTAGAGCGAAGCGGGGGTCCGGGAAGAGGAAAATAAGGAGCATCAGCTGCAGCACGTTTTTGGGTCTAGTTCCGCGTCTGCAGTCTTGGGCTTGTGAGTCTCCGGGCTTGCTCCAGTGATGCGGGTGATGCTGGGGATGATTCTGGGAGCTGCCTTCCACACCTTTGAAACACAGAAGCAATGCAAGGTTTTCACTGCAAAAATCCGACAGAGACGCTTGGTGTTGACATGCCTTGCGTGGCAACTGGCCCCCTTGGTCGGGAGTAGCAGGCTCTGGCGCGAAGCTCTATCGGGCTGCCACCCTCAGCCGCTGACCGGCGCTGTCGAGGATGCGGCCGGGGGTCCGTGAAGAGGAAAATGATGAGCATCACCTGCGTCATCTCCTTCTGGCGGGTATGTGGAAAATGCAGAAGGTTCACTGCAAAACTAGAGGACGATTGGCCCGAAAGCATTTTCCCAGGTGCTCATCCAGCCGCGGAGACACCTTTTTACATCGCTGCGGCGAGCGTGTCTGCACGCGGCGATGCTCAATGTGTATGGTCACATGAGAGCTCCATCTCATCATCCTAGTTTCCTCTCGAACTGCGCCGCGCGATTTCTCACGAAAGTGGTCTGCGCAAGCTGCATTGTTCCAGGCTGCTGCGCGCAAGTTGCTCTCTGCAAGCTGCTGCACGCAAGTGCTCTGTGCAAGTTGCTCTGCGCAACTGCTCTGAGCAAGTTGCTCTGCGCAAGTGCTCTGCGCCAGTTGCTCCGCGCAAGCGCTTTAGTGCTCTGAGCAATTTGCTCTGCGCAAGTGCTCTGCGCCAGTTGCTCCGTGCAAGCGCTTTGCGCATCTGCTCTGCGCAAGTTGGTCTGTGCAAGTTGCTCTGCGCAAGTGCTTTGTGCAACTGCTCTGTGCAATTCGCAGAGCGCAAGTTGCTCTGCGCAAGTGACTCTGCGCAAGTTGCTCTGCGCAAGTGCTGCCGGAGCTGTGGGAATGTACTTTGCGTACTATTTTTGTACTTAAAAGTTGCGATATTCCAGCCGGAGCTGCGGGAGCACGCTCTGCATACTATGTCTGTACTTAAAAGTTGCGATTTTCCAACCGGAGCTGCGGGAGCACGCTCCGCACACTACGTCTGTACTTAAAAGTTGTGATTTTCCAGCCGAAGCTGCAGGAGCACGCTCCGCGTACTACGTTTGTACTAAAAGCTGCGATTTTCAAGCCGGAGCTGCCGCGGACCAGGGGGGAATCGAACCCGCGACCGCGGGATTGCGAAAGCAGGCGCGCGAGCCACGAGACAACTTCCAAAGGTCATTTCGCGAGCAACAAATTCGCACGGCGCCACAGCGAGAGCGCTTCGACACGCACGATCCCCGCAGAGGGTCGCGCGCGGCTTGCAGAAATCGTAAAAAGTCCTCAGTTTTTGAACCTCGACCACGCGAATCTCCGCAGAGGGTCGCGCGCGCATGCTAAAAATCGTAAAAAGTCCACAGTTTTTTGGCCTCGACCACGCGAATCTCCGCAGAGGGTCGCGCGCGGCTTGCAGAAATCGTAAAAAGTCCTCAGTTTTTTAACATCGACCACGCGGATCTCCGCAGAGGGTCGCAATCCTGATCAAACTCCCGCCCAGGCGCCTTAGAAACCTAAACTAACTTACGTAGCTGCTTACGCCGAAGCTCTACGCAAGCTCTACCTAACCTTGGCTCTGCGCCACCTGCCTCTGTGTCACTTGGCTCTGTGCCACTTGGCTCTATGCAACTTGGCTCTATGTAACTTGGCTCTATGTAACTTAGCTCTATGTAACTTGGCTCTATGTAACTTGGCTCTATGTAACTTGGCTCTATGTAACTTGGCTCTATGTAACTTGGCTCTATGTAACTTGGCTCTATGTAACTTGGCTCTATGTAACTTGGCTCTATGTAACTTGGCTCTATGTAACTTGGCTCTATGTAACTTGGCTCTATGTAACTTGGCTCTATGTAACTTGGCTCTATGTAACTTGGCTCTATGTAACTTGGCTCTATGTAACTTGGCTCTATGTAACTTGTAACTTGGCTCTATGTAACTTGGCTCTATGTAACTCTATGTAACTTGGCTCTATGTAACTTGGCTCTATGTAACTTGGCTCTATGTAACTTGGCTCTATGTAACTTGGCTCTATGTAACTTGGCTCTATGTAACTTGGCTCTATGTAACTTCTATGTAACTTGGCTCTATGTAACTTGGCTCTATGTAACTTGGCTCTATGTAACTTGGCTCTATGTAACTTGGCTCTATGTAACTTGGCTCTATGTAACTTGGCTCTATGTAACTTGGCTCTATGTAACTTGGCTCTATGTAACTTGGCTCTTATGTAACTTGGCTCTATGTAACTTGGCTCTCATGTAACTTGGCTCTATGTAACTTGGCTCTATGTAATTTGGCTCTATGTAACTTGGCTCTGTGCAACTTGGCTCTGTGTAACTTGTCCAAGGGCGCCGCACGGAAGAGCCCTTCGCGATGCTTTCGGGAAAGCGCAGTTTGACATGATTTGCGTGGCAACTAGCCCAGAGTGCGCGCGCTCCTGAGCGCTGCGCGTGCGTGCGCGCGTGTGCGTGCGCACCTTCGCGCTCGTGTGTTGGTTCTTGTCGGTTGTTGTTGATTGTTGTTGCTGATTCGGCATCGCGGTGCTGCCGCGGCCGTTTTTGCGCCAGCAACGTAAATTCGGGAGCCGCAATTTTCGGGAGCCGACCAGACATGTTGACATTTTGACCAAACTTCTCGCAATCACGGCTGACTCCAAGGCGCCACCGGCCTTCCGGAGAGCTGCGCTTCGAGGTGAGTCACGCAGGCGCTGGCAATACCGGAAAGACATACGTCACCTCCTGCGGCGCCTGGCGACAGAATCTGCTGCCAACAAACCCAAAGCACACAAACAAAAGCACAGTTGCGCCATGATGATCACGAAGCGCCGCGGCCTCTGTCGGGTTCATGAAGCTTTGTGTGAAGCGGGTGAGCACCCCGAGATCCAGGATCTGGCAAAACGCCGCAAAGAAGGCCAACGCAGGCGGCGGGAGTGCCTGAAAGCGCGCCAAGCAAGCTGCTTGCCTGCAGGTGCACTTCCACAGGGGTCAGGGGCGCGATCATCACCCTTTCCTGCCGCTTGAGTGGGCCAGCACCACGCGCGCCAAAATAAGAAACGGCAAGGAATGAATGGAATTCCACAAGTTGCAAATTCTGTCAAGTGCGGCCCAAGGCCCTGAAGCAATTGGTCTGCCATGGCTTCGCAGCGCCCTGTGCGCCTGCCTAGTGAGTCCTAGTGCTGGGCCTGGCTGAAAGTTCAGCTGGACGTGTTGCTGGATTGCAGCAGTGCCCGAAATGCAGCAAGAACTTTGATCTGCTAGGACCCATCCAAAAAATGCAGGCCTTGGTTATTATTTATTTTCAAATTAACAGGAAGATCAGAAAGGGTTTGGTTTCAGACCCTTGCAAAACAAAGGAAAAATGCGGGCAGTTCTTGCTTTTCCGCGCGCCGCCGCCGTCGTGCGAGCTCAGCCCACGTGAGTGCCGGAAACCTCTTTGATGAAGCGCTCGTGCAACTGCCTGCAGGTGAAGAGGAGAGAAGCAACGGCGCAAGTGGGGCAAGCCTGGCTAAGGCCATGCTGGAATTGTGATCCAAGTTCTTGAAGGGGCCATCGTTGCATCCTTGGATAACGGGGCCGGACGCGCGAACTGTAATTAAGGAATGCTGCCAAGCGTCCGATGATTGTCTGGAAGGTCGGCGGCAGCTTGATCTCTTGAGGTGGCAACTCCCTGCCAGATGGCCGGTACCTTTGACTCATTCAAACCAGAACACCCTCAAACCCCACTTTCTCCAGAGGCGCTCAAAGGTGTACACCATATCTGACTCGGCCTTCTGTGCATTGTAACCTGTGCCATGACCATCACAGTCCACAGTACGTTCTCTCGCTTTTCCAAACTTGCGCCTTGCCCATCTCCAGGCCGTTTCTTCTTGTCGCGGCGGTCCCCATAAGCACGCCCGTAGCGGTGGAGCCTCGACGTAACTGATAGCGCTGTGTGGGCGCACGCCTCTGCAAACTCAGGCGCCGGCGACCACTCCAAGAACGGCAAGGTCTCCACATGCCTTACATAGAAGGTTTGCGCGCATAATCCTGGCTCTCGCCAAGCAAAAACTGCCAAGAAACAGGGCGTTTGCAATGTGACCTGATAATCTCGAGCACCAACTATGCACATATATGAAAACATGTAAAATATTTTGAGAGGGTGAGAATGAATGTAGAAATACGAAAGGCTGATATCATCGGCCGAATGGCACAAACGTTTTGAGCAGTCTCCCACTTGTGGGACACGTATCTTTTATTGTTGCGACAATGGGGTCTATTTGGAATTGCTTGCAGGAACATCTACATGACGCGCACAGGCATTTGAAACAAAGAACAGCTTGGAGTCCCGAGCAGCCTATGAACAAAGAATCGCCGATCAACAATGAACATGCCCGTGGGCTTGCGTTACGCAAAGGACTAGCATACGAACCGATGACATAGCAAAATGGCATGGCGTGGAAACTCCTAGCACCTTGCAATCCATGGGCCAAGCTGAGTACCATCATCCTCAGTAATGAACATGAGACCACTCCTCACATAATCAACCATATAGAGGGTTACTGCGCCCACGTTCAAGCCCGTCAGTCGAAGACTGGTACTTGCACTTAAACGACCGGGGCTCTTGCGCGACGACGCAACAGGTAGACTGCAGGGTCCGGACCCAAATGCCTTGAAGCGCTCCCTCTTCAATCTGAGGGCCTTGGTGACGCCATCCCAGGTTTGCGCAACATATCCTGCCTGTGATTCTTCATCGGCGCTCGGCGTCGCCCTGCTTTTTCACTCTCGTTCGTGTGACACTCGTTGCTGGCCACCTCGGCCGCTGTGGGAGGTAGCGCTCGCCGTCCGCGTGCGTAGCGCGGTCCCTCTAGTCTGCAGTTGGCCTCAGCTCGGTTCGGCGTGTCCTGGACTTTGTCGCCAGGTCCGAAGCAACGACCCTGGCGCGGAGGAACTGCTCCAGCGATGGCCACTCCTCGCCAATGGGCTCGAAGCCCACAGCCTGCGCCATCCCAGCACTGCTCCCATGAGCTTGCCGCAACCAGCGTCTGCGTATCGATGTGCAAAACCTGGTTCCCCATCACCACACCTCCGCAACTATACCGTGAACTCTTGCCACGTGCGCTTCTTTGCCCTCCTGTTGCGCATTTTTGTACCGCATCCCTGCGAACGAGACCCCCGCCACCTCACCAAGCATAAAACAGCTCGAGCCACTTCAGCCAAAGGGCAAGGGAAAAAACGTGAAAGTTCCGGGAACACGGAAATTGGCACAGAAATGGATCGGAAAATGAGTGGGAAACGACACCGACTCCGGCAAGGACATCACGAACACACGGAAATGCACAGTCGTCCATTGAGCACGAGCCTCCAACCGACATCGCGCGGCAAGTTGTGAGTGGACTGCTGCCACCCTTCTTGCCAATGCAGCCAGCACAGCTGAAGCTGACAGCTGTCCCCGAGCACACCGAACATGCCATGCAAAATGCGCGTCAGAAACCTCAACAACATTGCTCGCCCGCTAATTATTCCACTGGGTACGGTACGAAGCTGGGAGGAAACCGCCCTCGCTGTGGCGCCCTGAAGTGCGAAGCGCGCTCCCGCCGCTGCTGCGGCTGCGCAATCGCAACTTTTATACGCGAATTCCACTCCCGCACCTCCGGCTCGAAATTGGCAACTAAGTACCAAAGTAGTTCGCGGAGTACATTCCCTCAGCTCCGGCTCTGAAAGCTCGCAAGTTTTACGTACAGAAGTAGTACGCGAAGAGAGCCCGAGAGCTCAGGCTGCAAAATCGCAGTCTCTAAGTACAATAGCGATATACAAGAAGCGCACTCCCGCAGCTCCAGCTTGATAATCGAGAATCGCAACTTTTCAGCGCAAAAGTAGTACACGAAGTACGCCCCAGCAGCTCCAGCTTGAAATTGGCAAGTTTAAGTACACAATTCGTACGCAAAGTGCGCTGCCGGTAAGTCTCAAAGGAGAGTGTACGAAGTGCGTTCCCATGAGCTCCAAAGTTGTACGATTCCCGTAACTCAGGTCGGAAATCACAACTTTCAAGCGCGAAAGTATTGTTCGGAAAGTGTGCGCTCGCATCGCCAGCTCGAAAAGTCGAAACTTCAAAATGGAAAAGCAGCACGCGAATCACACATCCGTATCTGCAGTACGAAAATCACAGCTTGTAACGCAACAGTAGTGTGCGAAGTACAAAACCGCCAGCCTTCTGGCGCAGCCAAGCTGCGCACAGATATGGACAAGAGAGCTTTTCAAGAGAGGACATAGAAGGTTTGGCAAGAGTGGCTGCACAGCATCGTGCGCTGCATCATGCGCTGCATCGTGCGCAATGTCATGCGACATCATGCGCAAAATCACGCACAATACGCACGCTTCGCGGCGATATGTTGGCAGGAGAGATTGTGAAGCATGATGCAAAGCTCGTCAGAAATCGCAGAAGCCACGCTGGGGCAGGGCATTGACGTGTTTACGGTTTGTTTCTCACCAGGTGGGAGAGGTGCCAGGGTTCATTTAACGTCTTTCTATGCTTCGGGCCACCTGTCGTCAAGTTAAACCCAATACTATTCGGGGCCTCTTGCCGGGATAATTTGGACTGGGTCCTCGAAGATCATGATACGTTCGCAGTCAGAGAGGTGTCAGGGCGGAAGACCAGGAAGAAGAAACGGAAGATCACAAGGCAGAAAGGGCTATCGCCGACGAGGTGGCTTCAAAACCCTTCGGCGCAATCGGCAAGGCCAACATGGAATGGAGAGAAAAGCAAGTACAAGTGTCAGAGCCGATTCAATGGAAACACAGTTGCCATCCATCATACCACGACGGAAAAGGAAAAGGCAGCCAAGGACGAAAGGAATGTCCTGCTGGAACTGGCTGCCTACACATGCCAAAGGCTTCACATGTGATCTTGTCACGCTGAGGAGTGCGCTCAACGGTCGTGCGCAAAGTTCCGACCAACACTAACAAGTATCGGTGCGGCACTTTGGCGCTGGCTGGAAGTGCCGTGTGATGATTGAAACTGACACTTCGTTGGCAAAAGTGAACTTGGTGTCTGCCGAATGCACTCATAGGAGATGAGGTTCTTCGTTGGACCGATGGCCTGTGTGAGTCGCTGGATTGCACGCCAGCTTCCCATTGATCTGGTGCATCCGTTGTCGGGGATTGTGAAATAGCCGGATTGTCTCGCAGGCTTATGACCGGCGCCATTAGCCTTGTTGCAAGCAGGCTGTGACTGGTCGAGAGGCTGTGAGCAGGAGCTGTATCGTCGTGGATCAGCTGGTAGATAGCGTCAGTGTCCTAATGTTGGAAAGCGTGACTTGCTACTATTGCCATATGTCCTGCCCTGAAATTTCTTGGCTTGAGTACCAGCCACTTTTGCTCCAACCCAATGATGGGTCCCAATCCTGATCATTCCAACCGGCGTATGAAGGCTCTGCAGCCTGCTCATTGGCGGGTTGCTCCCCTGATTTCTCTGCGATGGCGGCAAATGTTTTTCAGGCACAGGACGCGCTCTCGTCAATCTTGCAGGCGTGCCAAAGTCGAAGAATCATGGCAAAATCGCTGCGAAAGGCCTCAACCATTCTCCTGCAGAACCTGCGACATCAGAAGTTGTATGTGCTTCCAAGTCATCATCAGCAAAAAGGGACAGAGTAACTTCAAAGATCACCGGACCAGTCAAGCAGAATTACAGGATGTTTGACAAGAAAAACAAACAACTCACTCGCGTTCACATCACGCCTCCAAAGGCCCTGACACAAGTAGATGTCAACTGTTGCTTGCTATTTCTCGTGTTGCTTGCCGTTTCTCACGCGCGAATTAGAATACATTTGCACTCAGTTTGCACAAACCATGTAGGTACCAGACAAATCCAACATGTCCAAGTCACAGAAGAGAGCGACTGACCATTTTGATATGATTGAAATCGATGGAATATGGCTAGGGCATAGAGCCGAGATCAGAATTCGACGCCAAAGGTCAAAAGACCATTTGAGTCTGCTTTGCTTTGCGTTTGCAGTCCATTGACCTTTCGGCAATCGTGTGTGTCACATATACATGTTGGCCCTTGTTTCTACCAAGAGAGCACATGTTCGCGAGAGAAAAAGAGCTCGCTGCGCCTGCTCCCAGTGCGCTCCGCACAGGGCCTTCCAGTGCAATTGAACGCATCAGACATCAGGTTCTTGCCAGAAACAAATCCAAGGTTATAGAGTCTCTTTGGCTGTCTTCTCCTCACAGAATAGATGCGCCCGGTCGGACTCAGGACGGCTCGTTGACAGAGACTACGAGGTGGTTGGTAAAGAAAAAATGAAGGAGCGGGAACGAGCACCCATGACATGCTCTTGTGGAGGAACGTCATGAAGCTCCACGGTCTAGCGCCGAAGTTGATGTGTGTGAGAGCGCGTCTTCCACTCAAAGGTGTGAGGGCGCGTCTTTCACTCAACGGCACAGGAGCCTTTTTGTTGCGAATCACGTGCCAGGGCAAAGCTGAGAAGTGTCAGAAAAATTGAGAGGGGCGTTCTGAGGAAAGCCAAGAAATTCGGCGACGTCACATTCTCGACGCACAGAGAACAAGTGTGCCGCGACGCGTGCCCAGAAAGCCGCAGAAAATGTGGTTGGGCGCGCACATCCTTTGCATCACAGATCAGACACCAGCGCGTTTGGTTTAGACATGTCAGGATCAGCCGACGCATTGGCCAAACGCATGACCAACGCAGCTTCCAACTCTCCAGTTGCGCGATCTTCGGTCATAATTCATGGTGGTATCACCTTGAAAGTGGGGTTGGGCCCCCCCATTTTCTACAGAAAATGGGGGGGCCCAACCCCATTTTCATTAGAAAACGGCAGGCCGACCCCATCTTCATAAAACATGCTCAATTTAGAAAAGGGGGGGGCCAACCTCGGTCCGACCCCACCATGAAAAAACGAAAGCGGCAGCGTCGTGAAAAAATGGGGAGGTCAACCTCCATTATATAGTGTCAGCATCATTTCTGTTATAGTGCGTTTTCTTAGAAGGTAAAACCCTTCTAATCCCTCTAAACTCAAAAGAGTTGAACATTGGGTATGGCTGAGGACGGCCAAAATGAGACATGTGAACAGGGACTCCATAAACGAAGCTCAAACCCACCAGATTGGAGATTTCGTCTTGATTCCGCACCATTTCACCAAGAAAATTTTTTCTTTGGTTTCCCAGCAGGCAGGCAGAAGAGGCCATACGCACACAGCCTCACCTCTGCAGCTGGTTGATGTCCATCAATGGGCCCAAGAAGTCGCTCCAGAAGTCGAATGGGAGATGCGCGAGGGACAGCGGCCTGATCGTTGTTGGCACACAAGCAAATGGAGAGTGCTGCGGTGACAGCAATCCCATTGCTATGAACCATTGGATGCCAGCCTGGCGTGTTGAAGACAAGACCCTTTTGAAGACACTTGTAACGGCAGAGCTTCAAAGACTGGAGACCATGTCTGCAGAGTTGCGCCGCAAGGCAGATGCAATTCCGCTAGTTAACAAGGGCTTGCCTGAGCAGAGAGCAATGGTGGAATTTGTTGCTTTGAGGTTCCCTTTCTTTGGGCTAGACACACCCACCTGTCGCTTGATCTAACCACCCCGCGCCATTATAATCTTTGATTCACACGCACGTGGCCGGTGGACTTGAAACTGCTTTCAGATTTTCAGGGGCGGATCTTCCTGTTCACGGTTCCTCTCGTAAAAAGGATGATTCGCGGCTCTTTTCGGAAGGGGGGGGGGCAGGTCAGGATGAGGCCCTACTGGAGATCGACACTACCACTTTCCAAATTCAGGGGTTCGGCCAGCCATTTTCTAAATTCTTGGGACCCGCCATTTCCAGAAACAAGCCTGAACTGTTTTTGAGCCATCCGGGGATGGATTGCGTCTGCCATGAAGATTAGCTAGAGCCTGCCAGGTCAGCAAGCAACAGCCAGAACCAGAAGGGGACGAGCGCAAGCAGGCGTGCGGTTTCCGCCATGTTGTTTTGCGCTCCACGCGTGGCAGATGGACTTGGACCTGATTTCAGATTTGCAGGGGCGGATCTTTCTTTTCCCGGCTCCTTTCATTAAAAAGAAGAAGTTGTTTGGCTCTCTTCGGGCACGGAAAAGGGTAGCGTGAGCAGATCGTTGTTTTTGTTTGGAGGGCTCCGTTCGAGAACGCCGAAGATTTGCTTGGCTTACCCTTTTTGTGGTGGTCCCCCCGCTGCAGAAGCGCGGCCCGGACGCTCTCTGGCGTTCCCGAAACGAAGCCTTGCAGGGGCGGATCTTTCTGTTCACGGTTCCTTTCATAAAGGGCTGATTTGTGGCTCTGCTCGGGCAAGGAGAGGGGCCGGACAGGGTGAGGCCCTACTGGAGGTCGAGACCCCCACTTTCTAAATTCAGAGCCATTCTCGACACTCATGGGTCCAGCCATCTCCAGAAACAAGCCCGAACTGTTTTTGAGCCATGAGGGGATGGCTTCTTGCGTCCGCCACGAAGATTAGCTAGAGCCTGCCAGGTCAGCAAGCAACAGCCAGGACCAGAACAAGGGGACGAGCGCAAGCAGGCGTGCGGTTTCCCGCCATTGTGACGTGGCTGCTTGTGTTTGTGATGCCGTTATGTGATACTCCTCGTGTATGTAGACCCCCGTGCGCTCCAATGTAAATCAGGGAATGGGCTTGCCGTATTCAATACGTGGCATGATGTGGCATGTTGGGGTCTGTCAGGTGGTCCTCACGCAAGACAACAACTCAGAAGAGCAGGAGAAAAACAATCAGGAGATTCAGAAGCAACGCGGTCGCCCGAAGAAAGCCAGCAAGCTCGCTGAGGAGGAACTGAGGATGGATGACATGTTTGCGCAACCTCGTGGGGCCACGTATGGTGATTTCCAAAAGCAGCAACTCGGTCTATTTTAGAAAATGGGGTCAACCAATCCAAGACTGAGAAATTTCAAGAAATTTAAGAAAACTTTTCAAGATTTTAAGAAAACTATTTACACCATTTAACATCCCTTTGCTGTGTGTGGCCTCCCACAGGACTTCTTGAATTCAGCCAATTTCTAAGATAGAAAATGGGACGCCGAGGGCAACCAAACAGGGCGCGGTACCGGATCTTCAACGACCCGAGCTCACGAACGCCAGACGGCTCTCACCCGGATGCGTTCCACAGTTGGGCCTTGCCGCGGCGGAGACGGATGCGTGCACGCCGGCGCAAGTGAAAGGACCGCAGGTCAAACACGGCATGCGCCCGCTCTGCAGTTGTGATGGGGCCAACCTAGAACCCTTCCTGACCAGACCCATTTTCTTTTATTCGCCATTTAGAAAATGGGGAGTGCCAGCCCCACCATGGGAGGTGACATCCTTAGAAAAAAAAACAAGCCCAAAATGGGCTCAACCCCACCCCCCCCCCCCATTTTCTAAATTAATGTCGAACCCGGATGGCGCATCATCTGCTTCTTCCTCTTCGCCGACTTCTGCTTCGTGGTCATCGTGGCCATCGTGGTCATCAAGCGTGTAGAGGGTTGGGCGTCGCGTTGCTGCGGTAGTCGCGCCGGCGGTGTGGGATGGATCGATCTTGACGCTGCGCTGACCTCACGCTCGCACTGCCGTCCGGTGACTCAGGAATAGCTGGCACTGCCAACATCGCACTTGAGCTCCGCCGAACTGGCATGACCAGACGTTGCGCTAGCCTGTTTATCGGCAAGATATTTCTGTCGACGTTTTGACTCGCAGGGCTGAACAGGGCCTTACGGCTGATAATCTGCAAAGACGCACTATATCTATATATTTACAAATGTTATATAAGACATTCAGCTTAGCTGACGGAACCGAATCTAGAAATATGAATGATGTCACCGACCGAATGGCACAGGCCCGTTGATCAGTCTCTCACCGGGCTACTCGTCCCAAGAGTATCTTTAGCCAAAATGGTTTTCATTTTGGCCGTGCGTTTACCAACATCTACATGACATGTGCGGGCAATTGAACCAAGCAACAAAGATCAATTCGGGACCCCGAAGAAGGTAAACAAGCGCATACGTATCAGAACATGTCGGACATTCGGGCAATACCAAGCAATCCTTCACAAAAATGCACACCCACCCAACCACCACCTTCGGCAACAACAGCACTGTGGAGCAGCAGCAGCAGCTGCAACAGCAGAAGCAGCAGCCCCGCAGCGCAAGCAGCAGCAGAAGCTGCCGCAAAAGGCATCAGCAGCAGCACGAAGCGCGTTGTGCGAGAACAATTAAAGAAAGCTGGCTGGAGGTCGTGGAACCTCACCAGCACCATCATCTGCACTATCTGCTCTTCTCAAACGCAAACGCAACATGACATCCCATGCAAAGGTTCAGCAAGGACTTGGCCAGTGAGCAATCGTAAACGTCACTGAGTAGTCCCAGAAGGCGCCACAGGCGCTTCAAATAGCACTTGCGATGGCGCATTGAAACGAGTTGCTGAAACTCGTTCTGCTCCGCAGATCCTGAGCGGCGCAGCAAAGCAACATCCCAATGTCAATCCTGGAATAACCAAGCTTGCAAATTAACCAGGCGGCAACGGCCACCTCTTACATGGGGGCGCTCCCCTATTTATCAACCAGAGGTTTCTTAATTACAAGCCACCGTCTACAATCATGTAACGCTTGTCGACAAAGTTCCTCCAAACGGCTCCACCCCAGGGCACATACAAAATCAGTGCTTACAAATGGGAGCGCAGGGACAGCCCAGGGCAAGGCTTATAGGCAGGGTGTGTCCATTGGTATGTAAAGACTTTCACATCCGGGACTCCGAGAATGTAGGAGAAGCGGACCCCAACGGCGCCCATGTTTGAGGCGATCTTCACAAGACCTCTGGGCTTGACGAAGTACCGAAGGTTCCGGAAGAACCTGAGCTTGCATGTGCCAGCATGTGCCATTGCTGTGGTCCATGCTCAGCAAAATATTGAATGACCATTGAGGGTCCGTTGCCAAACAGTGTCAAACGACAATGATGTTTCTGTACATTTGAAGGCTTGAGGGCTTTCTGCTTGCTCCAGCTTGTTGTTAACGCCAGGGAGCAGTCGCATGAGGTTCTCGTGTCTCCAGTTCACGATCGGATGGCTGTCCTTGGCTGGGAAAGTCGTGCCATTTGGTATGTGTCAACATAGGGCTTTGGGCCCAACATCTTTTTGGCTTCCTGTGGATCCAACTCGGAAAAAAAGGTACCAAGTCCAAAAACGTGCGCACGCCACGTTGTCCAAGGGGCGTAAAAGCCAGTGACGTGTCCTTGGCCAGGTTGCAGGTCCACCTGGGAGCTGAGGCTCCTTCATTCTGATTCATTCCTTTATCTTCTTTCCTACGGATTTGGTTGAGTTGCAGGCCCATGCCGCGCCAGCATGCGGAAAGTTGTAGTAGACTGCACCTGAGTCTGCGCGGGCTTCGCGAGCCGAGCTCCGCTTTGTCCCGCGCACCAATGGACCCCTCCATGTTCTTGAAGCGGGGGTCCAACGCGATGCGGGTGCAGTCCACCTGCAAAAGATGAAGCTCTCAGCGGTCAAGCTCCACGGCCTGCCTCGTGGTAGACATCTGCCAAGTAGTCATCCAGCACGCGGATGGTGTCATCGATCCTCGTGTCGAAGTATTCGAATGACGTCCATGCTTCTCTTTATCGTGTTGGCGCCCCTGTCCCCAGTCGGCGGCACGCCGCTTCCTTTTTGCCCGTCACCCATTGCTTCAGCAGGCCGACGAGGCTATTGAAAACCATTGAAAACGCGTGGGGAACCTGTCGGTTGCCCGGGAACTTCCTTTCGCATCAGGCTGAAGGCAGCGAGGCGAGTTGACCAGCCAGCTCGCCCAGTGAGTGACGATAGGTGAGGATATTGCCTCAGTTGACAGAACGGCTGTAGAATGACACCATATGAAACCGCACATTGACTCAAACCCCAGTTGCAATCAGGCGACGCCTCATGTGACTGGACAGTGTTTTCCAGTCATCATCGCGTGCCTCTCACATCCACTGCGCAAGTTGAGAGGCAGCGAAAGCCTCGCCTCGCACGCCGGGATCAAGTCGAACTTGTCGTCCGGATTGGCGGGATTCTGGATCAAGGTGTAGCATGAGTCCTGCCGAGATTGATTGGACAAACACCACGTCAACATGAGAACGACGCAAACCCATGAACATGGGTGTTGTTTTGAGGGTAACTTCCGCTTCTGACCTATACTCTGAGAACCACGGGAGGGCAAAAAGGACAAACTCACGTGATCCAGGCCTTGCAACCACAGAACCTCTCTTCATCTTCGCCAATGCATTTCGTGTTCTCCAACTGAGCGCGAGCAGTTTGACTTGACAAGTCGGAGTCGGAGATTTGCTGGGAGACGGCTCAAGCTATCCGCAGCAAAAGCAGGACATGTGCAACTTGAGATAAGGCGAACCGAAAGCTGGCACCGTCCAGCTTATGTATCAGGAAGGTCGAGACGGCAAAGCTGAACAGGCAGCAGAGCATATGTCCGGGCGATGAGTTGCAGGCAGCAGGTGGCAAAACTGTCCGGCCCAGACAGCCCACGCTGCAGGTTCTACTGTGGAAAAGGCATCTCTGTCTTGATTGTTCGAAAGAGGGCAGATTTGTTGCTGGGGGGCAGGCCCGCTCAGTTAGCAAAATCATGCGCTTCCTTTGTCAAGCTTGCCACCCTCGCACAAACCTCAATCTTCGAGACTAGCCGTCCGGAAAAGGGACTTCTTGCTGGATGTAAACCGGGAGCCCCCACTATGGAGTGACTTTGTGATGGGTGTGGTTACCCCGTGACTTATATTGCAAGCAGCACTATGTCATCACCTAAGGCATGCGCCCAACAGTCAGCATCGGTGGTGCATGTACCGAACGGGTGATCCGCACTAGCTTGGTCTTCCGTACCTTGGCATCAATGCAACATTCTGCAGTCTGAGGGCCTAGCCCTTGCTGCCTCAAGTCGACCCTTGCCAGCTCAGCGTTGCTTTCCCCATGTGTTCGAGCAAAACACGAAACATCTTCCCAGCGTAGCGGCAGGCAACTTATGGGCGTTCAGCTGTGCGAATGTCACTTGAATTTCTTTCTCATGCAGGTGCACTCGCAGCGCCAAAGGGTGCCTTTCTCTCAGACCTCCGGTTCATTTCCATGGGGAGAAAGGTACCTTTTTTGGAGGCCTGGCTTCTGCCAAATGGCCGCCACCGTCGGTGAGTAAGATCTTCATACCCTGCGATATTGCATCAAAGTCCTTGGTTCTCAACGGATTGCTTGGATTGGCCATATGGACCCGGCGCCCAACGGCTCAACGCGAAATCTTTTCTGTATAAATATTATATATATATATATATATATTTATATATATATTTATATATATGCAAAATCATCTCCGCTTGGTGTCGTTCTTCTTGCACCAGGTGCATGCCTCGGAGCCGGCCACGGGCACTGTTGCTGCGCCAAGAACCGCCTGGGCCCCTTGCCTTGGGGAAGGCAACCCTGTCAAAATTATTTCAGCTGGTCGTCTTGCCTCATGTCCTCCGCCACTTTTGTTCGAACAACCTGTTGGTTGCCCTTTCTGGGAGTGCCAGGCTGGTTACAATGTTGAGGCCAACCCTTCCCCAGGCCCGCCTTCCATATCATTTTTGATGGCTGCTTGCAGTCCAAGCCCTTGCGCTGGCAGATTTGAGACAGAACCGAGTCATCCACCAACCTGAGTCGCGCCAAATCCGCCCGAACCGTGACTATGAACGCTACGAATTCTGGGGGAACCTTCTTAATGGCTAGACACAAACTCCACCAGGCCCCCTATTGAAATTCACAGCCATACTGGACCTCAAAACCCAAGCGGCTTTCTTTGGCTTCCCATTGGCTTCCCTTCAAACCCATACAGCCAGTGCGACATGTCCAAACCGAGCATCTGCAGCACCTTGAGCGCGTTCACAGAGCTGAGGCAATTTTCTTGTTCTGCCTCCGACAGGGAGTGGCAGGCCTCTTGCGCCTCCTTGAATTTCTTGCCTGAGAGACAGGCAAGAGGCCCTTCTGCAGTCCGAGCGCAAAAGCCACACCAACTTCCATCTGACTCAGAAAATGATGAAAAGGCGGCCACCCCAATTGCAACCTCGTTCGAAGCGCTCAAGAACTCCAACCCATGCAACACAAGTGCAACAATGTGGCTTCTACCAACAACAGTTGGCCATTCATGCGTTCCACCACCAAGCCATGTTTTTCAGCATGGTCGCGGCATAACAACAAGGACGCAAGTAGGCAGGCAGGTAAGGCAGGCAATGCTTTGACAAACGCACACGCGCGCAACACACACGCACAGGTTCACGCGAAGACGCCGTGCCTGCTTTGGAAGTCGGCCGCACGTCATGAATCAGCGCACCCAGCTCCTTTAGCTGAACAGCTTAGCTGACCACAATGTTTCGTATCCTGGTCTCACTGCATGAGTGATGCATGAAGACAAAAATGGGCAAATGCCGCTTCGTTGTACGCACATGCGGGGCAGTTGTGTTGTCTCAAATGGTTTCCACTACCCTATAAACTCCACAAAAAGCAGGGACATACCCTTCATACAGTGGGTTAAATGCAGTTGGACCCCTGAGCGATCACCAAACAGGAAAGCCCACGTCTCAGTTGCCAGCCGTGACCGCCACGTCAAAAGTGCCCTTTTCTGGAAATTGGCCGTGTTGAGGGGGGAACCGAACCCGCCCAGCAAACTGAACAAATCTTGGTCTGGGCATGTCCTCGACTGACAGCGTGCCCATCTGAAGCTGCTCATAGTTTGCAACTCGCTCCTGCCAAGTCTTTCCAGAAGTCGCCTCAAGTCTTTCCAGGAGTCTGGTGTGGCCCCCAGATTAAGGAACCTGTTGTTGATGAATCGGAGGCGTCCCATTTTAGAGGGAATTCTACACTTTCTAGGAAACAACCCTGCACTAATCCGCGCGGTTGATTCATCCGGGTAGGCAAGACAATGCAGCGCTTTCTCCTCGCGAGCTTTTCGAGACTCCTCGACGTCACAATTCAAGTCCCTCAGTCAGGCTTGTCCGAACTGACAGAAAGTGCCTCCTGGATGTCATACTTGTCGTGGTTTGCCCACCAAGGTGCAGTCCACTTTCATTGCTGTATGACTCGCAGAGTCGAGTGAGGTCATCATCACTCATCTCCCTAAGCTTGGAGACAACTTCAAAACAGCTTGAAACAAACAATCAACTGTAGCTCATGTTCATTCCCACCCGTAACTTGCACGATGTCCCAGTCTTTCAGGGAAGCCGTGACAATTGTACAAACAATACGGGCTGGGCATTCTCAGACTTGTTCATGTACCGGACTCTGGTGGCTTAAGGGGGGTTCTGCCCCAAAAGCAATCAAAGAACTCAACATGGTTTGCTAACTTTGAACCAGCTTTCCCGTCTTTCTAAATCGGACTGACGGCTTCCTCCAGCTCCTGCCATTCTCTGCCTCGATGGAGTTGATTGGGCCCCTCGCAGCGCAGGTGTCAAAATTGTTGCTGGCCGCCTGCCCCGCGTCGACACATATCAAGGAAAACGGGGGTTGAATGAGCTGCTTATTTTGAGGGTACCAACATGTGCAGGATGCTTAAAAAGAGCTCTGGAAATTGTGGTTCGGTTCTCTTCTGCGGTGTGATGCAACCTCCTTGGGAAATTGGTTGCACAGCAATAGGCGTGGACGGGCAGCCTTTTAAAATCCAAACGCCTCTGATAGTCCACTTCCATGACTCTAAGCAGGGTAAAAGACCAGGCAAATCCCTCGCTTGCCTCGAAGAATTCATCATACTCTTCGGAGTCTTCGAAGTCTGGGTTGTACATCTCAGCGACCACCATCTCGGAAACAACCTTGTCCTTGGCAATTGTTCGAAATCGGATTGGCCGAAAGCTCTGAAGATTTGGTTTGAAACCAAGCATCAAATTGTTTGCGCACCTCTTCCAGCATTTTGGCATTGGCAAGAACCAGTTCTCCGAGCTGACGCAGGTAGTGGCTCGCGTCGTGTCCTCTCAACCAAGTTCGGCAGTCACGATGTGCATGGATCACGACCGCAAGTTGAATTTTTCAGCCAGAGCGTCGCAAGGTGACACTCGATGGTGAACACTGGGTCTCATAGCCAGGCTCCCGAACATATGTGTCATAGACAGTTGCCATCAGCGAAAAGACAGTCTCACCTAGGCGGAATGGGTGGGCAATTATAAGACAACGCCGCCTTCGCGCTGCAGCTCATGTCTTCTGACACATTGTATACACACACGTGAGGCATTCAAGCACTTACTTTGGATTTTGCCGCAGGCTCACGAGTTTTTGTGATGATAAACCCCGTTTGTTGTGTCCACTTGCAGGCCGGTTCACTGATAATCGGGAAGCTGGTCAGCTTGATGCCCGAACGGATGGCGGCGATCTTCGTGTGCTCAGAAGCTCCTGCGAGAGCGGCTCGGATGACTTGAGCAGAGCGCCGGGTCACTCAGGCGGCATCGCCTGAGCAATCCTTGCACAGCGGCAGCCAAATGTACCTCAGAGCTGATGAGTTTGCCAAAAACGAACCTGGAGTTGCCATCTCAGTCAAGAGGCTTTACCATCTCCGAGAGCGAGCTGAAGCACTCCGAGTTTCTCAGACAATCTTCGCATGGCCACTGTCTGTTTTCCTACTGGACATGGGAAATTTAGTGCGCCCCCCAATGTTCTTCTAAGTGGACAGTAGCCAACTGGACATCTCGACTGAACCCCATGTGCTTTCCATGTTCTGCCTGCGTTGAAGACCAAGTGTCATGTACCAGTAGTAGGACGCCCCCACGTCAACAGATATCGGCGTGACGGCCTTCATGATACTCGCGCCCGCCTTGAGCAGTGTGCAATGGGGCTTCGCTCCCGATCAAATAGCACTTCCCCCTCTGTTTTGTTTGGCCCCTTGCTTTTTAACGTGCCCAAGGAGATTGACCTGTCTACTGAGTCTACTGAGTCCATGGCTGCCACATTGGCAAGCTCAAATATATATACACATATATATATATACATATATATCTAAGTATATATATATATACATATGTGTGAAGACAGCTGTAGCTGCGGCAAAGACAGCATATTCATTCTCTCTATAGAGCGGATTGTAAAACAATCACACCCAGCCTGCTTTTTGCACGTGAGTTTGTAATCCCAAATCGGATAGGGGACCCCAAATGGTTGCAAAACAGTCACAACCTGGAAGGAAAAAGAAAAACCTCAACGTTTCAGGCCAATCTTGATTGAGTTTCGCTGTGGTGGGGTGATGACATACAAGGCACCCAGAAAAGCGTAGCACTGGAAACACGCCACACGCATCGTCGGCTTTTAGGCGTCCCGCGCTCCAGCCAAGGGTGACGCCGTTCACCCCGTGGGGCTCCGGCACCCAAGGGCCTGAGCATTCAAACCTACGGCCTATGGCCATATGCCACGTACGCTCAATGGCAAACACCTAGATGGAAATGTATGGAACCGTCGGAAGCGTGAGACTTTGCAGCTTCATGCCCGTACAAACGCGGCAACAAACAGCTTAGCACATGTCAGCCTTCCGCAAAAGGATGTGCTTGGGGAGTTCCTAAAGGGTTTGATATCAAACCGTTGCAAGCAAAGAAAGAAACGCACTCCAAAGGATCACGCAACTCAAGGTCGCCTGGGACGGAATTGTCGGCATCCGTGGCAAATGTCACGCCGAGCCCTGGAGGCAGTGCAATGGTAAAACAATACTAAACCAATACCATCTTCTGCCAGTCAGTGAAATGCTCCTGCGTTGATGCCGAAGATGGAGGGCGTTAAACTCGCAGCAGTCCAGAGGCCTGAGACGAATTGCCGACTCGCCTTCTTTCCGATGTTTTGAGATGTTTTGAGTCATAATCAAACCCGGCAAAGCGGCCTACCCAAGACAATGCAAATGCAAAAACGGCTGCACTTTGGGAATATCTCTTAATCTTCACTTGCTCTTTGCATGGATCAATTTCTACCTAGACGGACCTCAAAGTTCAAATCCTGGCAGCCTGGGCATCCAACATAATCCTATGATGTTCGATCCCAACTTTGACTGGAACCTGGCAAATAAAAAATATATTTTTTCAGAAAGAAATGACACCCGTCCAAAATGGGATTCCACACATAGGATTCCCATTGAGGCAATGCATTGGGGCTCGTCTCCTTCTGCCTGCTCGCTGGTCTTCTCCGTTTGACTCCCATGGACGAGCGGCACGGGAGTCAGGAGAAAATCTCTGGCATACGGGAATGCAGCGCAATGACCGGGCTAATGCGCATGTTGACTATCAGCAGAAAGCATGGGTAAGGCCGCAGGAAGAGTTCTTGGAACCTTCCTGGATGAGGATCTCAGAAGGATTCGGAGTACCTGTCTTGTGGGCATTGCAAAAAGGGACTGCTGCACAACGCATCTCAATAAAAACCAGTTGCTGAAAACTAACCGCATAACAGAACGGAATGTCATGTCAAATGTGAAGTTCCAACACACACGAAGTGCTGATGGCCTGTTTGCGGAATCACATGTTGCAAAATGAGCTCGCTCTCACTGGCCTTCCTCAGTTCGCCAGCGATCAGATCTGGATAAATGAGACTAGGAATTTCCCGCTTTAAGGCAAACAAGATGTAGCACTCTTGGAATAGAGTCGGGAATGGCAACCTGAAAGCTGGTTCTGTTCATCTCTCTCTCCAATCTGCTCCTGTTGCGTCATGTCTCGTTTGCGTCATGGTTGCAGGAGCTCCCTCTTGAGGTTAGAGCGGTTCCATATTTCAGCGTGCGCACCTAGTCTTCACATGCGTCACTTAGTCATCTCCATGTTGGGCTCACCAACGTTGGGCTAGCATGCAAATCGCACGCGCCCTCTTGCAACCTTTGCCCCAATTCACCGAGGGAGGGGGATCATTTTCGAACACCGATGTTGGATCATTTTCGAACACCGATGTCCTGGATCATTTTCGAACACAGAGTGGGTCATTTTCGAACACATGGGGGGGCTATCCTGCGTGGTGCGCATGGACACTTGGAAAATGGCCGTGCTGCTGTAAATCACATACACTTGAGCAAAACCGCGTTCAAAAACGAGCCAAAACACGCGTTCAAAAACGAGCCAAAACACGCGTTCAAAAACGACCACCTTCCCATTCACCGACCGGCCTGTGACATACGCCTCCTGCAAGGTCCAGTTCTGCTTGTAGCCTCGGGGCAGCAGTTCTCGGCTTCGGCTTCCCACAAGCAACTGATGGCAACCCCGGGCCAGCCCCTGTCTTAACCCCGTCAATCAAGACTTCAGCAAGGGCCATGGCGTGTAAAACATTCTGCCGAGCCCTTGTTTCTCAGTTCTGGTTCTCAGCTCAGCAGCCCTTCCAGCCGAACCCGGCGTATCCGCCCAGGCTGGCTCCAGTCACTGAGGGCCCGAAGAAGCCGGCGCCCCACCTGTCCAAGCGATGGGTCCATTTTACTAAATATTGCCCCAGCTGCATGGTGGGACAGAACACGGGGACCCAAGAGCAATTTTGAGAAGCCATGCAAAAAAATGCAACCGCCCCGCATTTGAGTCGCAATCAAAACCCGGCGTCAAAGTGGCCTTCCCAGAAACCATGTCAAGAATTCAAGAGGATCGATATCTGCACCTGCTTATGGCCATGCTATCCGTGAACATCCTTCACTTAACCCCGCAACCGCTTTCTCACTTGCTGCGCCTGAACTGCCCAATCTCGCGGTTCCGGAAGTCAATGACCTGCCCCGTCTCTGTGCTTCGGGTTTGGTTCCCAGCACATTCGAGGGGGGGGGGGAATGGGGGAACACTTCGACATTACTCGGGGCAGGAATGGTCACGGAGCTTTTGCACGGGATTCGCAAATGCCACGACCCGCAGGCCGTACGGCTTATTGCCTCCTCAACTCCTCCCCCAATTCCAGCAGCACTCACGCCCGAGCCGCGGATGGCCAGATTCGGTGCCTCGATCTTCAAGCGAAGGCCGCTCACTTGCAAATGATAAAGCAAGCACTTCAAAAATCACATTTCGTCATGACTTTGTATGGACAGCCATATCATTCTTCTCGCCCCTTGAATTATTCTTTGTTGACTTGTAATTGGCCCAAGGCCAAAAAAGGGCAAATCAAGACGAGGGCTTGAAGGTCGCGTATGTGCGAGGGAGTTCCCCAAAGAGTTTCACGAATCAACTGGATTTCCCATCACTGTGGTCTGAGGAAAAGGACTGGGCACTGCGGTGGCACAGTATGCAGAAGCCTCCGAAACACCCCAAAGACTTTTGGGTATGGTTTGGCCTTTCCAGCAACCACAAAGTAACAAGCCGGGGAATGTGGTTCCGGTACCCAAAAAAACACCCAACATGGTGAATATTGATTTTCAGAACAGGGGACCCTGGTAGTGCGCTTTTTGCGTGTTTTGAGGCTTGCGTCTGCTCATGTGTCAGCCATGTCAGTTGCAATTGATCTAACACGAACAATGGAAACATCTTGAGAAAACAAGAAAACAAAAAACAACCGAGAAACCCCCAAAAAAAACAAACCTCGAAAAAACGAGACAGACATGATTTAGAACTTTTTGGAGCACAACCCGTGTTGAAAGAGTTCTGAAAACATGATTTTTGTTTTCTCGAGATTTTTTAAGGTCGCCTTGGTTTTCTCGAGGTTGTTTGTGTTTCTTTTTTGTGTTCCTCGATTTTTGGTTTTCTCAAGGCTGTTTGGGCTTGATCATTGATGAACCAAACAATGGCTTAAAGGGGACCAGCCACTTTTGAGCCCAAAATAGCCATGGGCTCATGGGTTACTTCCGGCCTGGTTCTGCCACTTCGAACTGATACCTTGTCCACCAATGGAATTAAGCACTGGGAATTTGAAAAGAAGTCTTCACAATGCTAAATCTGGAATTTTCAGTATGTGCTAAGTTCATCACAGGGAATCTGAAAGAACGGCCTGGTTGGCAATACTAAATTTAGAATTGGCAATACTCAATCAAGCACTGGGAATCTGAGTGTAAGTCTTGGCACTGCTGCGTTAAAAATAGGCACTGCTAAATGAAGTCCTTTGAATGCAAGAGTAAGTCTTGGCAATGTCAAATTTAGATCTGGCAATACTAGATGAAGCGCTGGGAGTCTGAGTGCGGTGTAAGGCTTGGCCGTTCTCGATTAAGATAGTAGTCGGAATTCTGAGAGTAAGTCTCGGCAATACTCCGCCGACCCCTCGCCCAAGAGGGGACGCGCACGGGAAGGGTCCACAAATATTTCATTTTTGTAGTCTTATACGTGCTTTAGATTACTATGTTTTTGTTCTTACATCACAACATATTTCCTTTTTAGTATAGTCTTATACTTTGTCTTGGCCACAACGATAGCTTTTATCGTCATCATCATCACCATCAACATGATCCTCATCTCCTTTGCTGCTATGATAACGGCGCTATGATGATAGTTCTGAGCTTCATGCTGGTGATGAGAAGGATGCTATGATAAGATCTTAACAGCGCGTTGGTCATCATGCTAGTGATGGAAAAGGATGCTATGACAATAGTTGCCTTCATCATGACGACAGTTACGGACTAATTGAAATGCAAAGGATGCTATGATGATAGCTATCACCACCATGACGATAGTTCATGCGATGATAGCTATCATCATTATGACGATGGTTGTCTTCATCATGATTATGGCCGATGGTAATGATAAGGATGCGATGATAATAGTTGTCATCACCATGATGGTTGTGCAACGCATGAAGTGATAGTTACCATCATCATCAGTCACAATCATCTCATGACCATCGTCACGGTCATCACCTCTTGATTTTAATATTTCTCACATGTCTTACGCTTAGTACTGTAGAATTATTTTTATTCTTATATTAAATAGTTATCTATGTATATTTTCTGATATATACGTTTCAGAATTGAGTTAGACATTGATGGTAATGCTAAGAATATTGCTTTCTGATATACACATATCAGAACTGACTTTGGACACTGATGGTAATGCTAAGGGTGCTATGATGATAGATATTATCATCACGATGGTAATGCAAAGGGTGCTATGATGCTAGAAATCATCATCCTGGCGGTCATGCAACATCGTCATCTCTCACGATCATCATCCCTTGACTGATGGTAACGCTAAGGGTGCGACGACGAGTGTTACATGATCATGATGATTGACGGTAATGCAAAGGATGCCATGACGATGGTTTTCACTGTCGTGACAATAGTTATCATGTTCATAATGGTACTGCAAAGGATGCTGTGATGATCATGATTGCGTCACGATCATCATCTCTTAGTTTCCATATTCTTTCTCTTATTCTGATATATACGTTTCGGAACTGACGTCAGGCACCGACGGTAATGCTACGGGTGCCATGTTGATAGTTATCAGCATCACGATGGTACTGCGAAGGGTGCGAGGATGATAGTTTTCATCATCCTGATAGTAATGCAAAGGATGCTATGAAGTTCTCATCATCATGGTGATCATCATCAGCTCTCATGATCAGCACTTCTTGACTGATGGTAACGCTAAGGGTGCGATGATGATAGCTATCATACTCGTGATGATGGACTGCTGGTCATGCTCAGGATGCTATGATAATAGTTCTCATGATCATGATGCTAACGCAAAGGATGCTATGGTGACAGTTATCATCATTATGCTGGCGTCGTGATCATCATCTATTGGGATTTCTTTGTGTGATGGACTCCTGGTAATGCTAAGGATGCCATGATGATAGCTATCATGTTCATGTTCATGACGGTACTGCAAAGGGTTCTATGATGATAGATATCATCGTCATGATGGCGTCATGAGCATCATCTCTTGGTTTTCACATTCTTTTCCTTATTCTGATATATACGTTTCAGAAGGCTAAGGATGCTATGATGACAGTTATCATCACGATGGTACTGCAAAGGATGCGAGGATAATAGTTATCCTCATCCTGAGGGTAATGCAACGGATGCTATGGTGACAGTTATCATCATCATGGTGGTCATCATCGGCTCTCACGATCAGTACTTCTTGACTGGTGGTAATGCTAAGGGTGGGATGATGATAGTTGTCATGAATCATGGTAATGCCTCTAAGGATGCTATGATGGTAGTTATCATGATCATGACGGTAACGGGCGCTTTGATGGTAGTTACCATCATCACGCTGGTGCCGTGATCATCCTCTCTTGGTTTTCTTGTATGATGGACTGCTGGTCATGCTAAGGATGCTATGGTGATAGTTGTCATGTTCATGCTGGAAATTGCAAAGGGTGCTGTGATGATAGTTGTCATCGTCAGGATGGTGTCATGATCATCATCTCGTGGCTTTTTTGATCTTCTTCTTACTTTTACTCTTATGTTCTTATGCTTATATATACGTTTCAGAAATGACGTCAGAACTGACGTTACACACTGATGCTAATGCAAAGGGTGCTATGATGATTGCTGCCATCATCTGATTACGCTGCAAAGTTATCATCACCACGATGGTAATGCGCAGAGTGCAAGGATGATAGTTCTCTTCCTGATGGGTTTTTTCCACACTGTAGACGGCTTGCGAACACTGTGGCTGGCGCAGCTCGTACAACGCTTCGATATTTGCCGCCCAAATCATCAGCATCATCATGATCATCATCATGACGGTCATCACGAGAGATGCGATGCGTTGCGCTTTTCCGAGCTACGCCCTCATGTAGCACTTGTGGCTGTGATGTTGGCGGGGTCCGCGCGCGCGCCCTTTGCGAAGCTTTCGAAACCACAAAGCGGCGCACGCGCTCGGACCCAGTTGCCGCCTGAAGCTACGCCGGCAAGAGCTGAAGGCAACAAAGTCTCGCACTCATCTGCGTGGGGCAGCGGTTTTTCCGCGCCAGTTTCAGGCTCTTGCGGGGGCTGTCTAGGGAGGTAGCGGGCAGCTGGCGCTGCAGCAGTTGATGTCCTTTGCATCTCCCCAACCAGACACCACACCTCTGCCAGCACCCTCTCCTTCCGCTTGGCGCGCGTTCTTGCAATTCGCATCCGGCTTCTACTGGCAATGTCCTCGATATTTAAGTCTTGATCTGCACGGCACGCGTTGCGTGTCTGCCTTCCGTTCTGTTGCCTACCGCGTGTACCTCGAAAAGCACCGCTTAGGCTGCAGTGTCTTGCAGTTTGCGCAGGTCCAGAAGCCTCGTTGCTTCTGACTGCATGTCTTGCACTTCCGTCGGAAGAGCCGCTCGGCGCGCCAAGCAGTCGCGCTGAAGTCTGCTGTTTGCCCCCAGCACGCTTTCGTGTTCCGCTTCTTCACGTGAAAGGCACATGCGGGCTGCCAGCATTTGCACATGCAGCACTGCCACAGGTGACCGCTCTGTTCGTGCCTGCCAACAGCGGCTGGCGTCGTCACGCTTCCATTCGCCTGCCGTGCGCCCGCGTGGCTCCTTCCGTTCTCGACACTCGCAGCAGGGCCTTACAATAATGTACTCTGCTCGGATTCGGTCCCAGTCTATCTCTTCTCCCCTCCACACACGGAGCAAGAGGTTTCGCCCCACGTCTTCCCCACGCTGGGATGGCGCTAGGGAAAAGGGACGAAAAACAAGCAAGCGCGCGACCTTCGATGCGCGTTTCGCCTACGTAACAAGTCAAGGGGTCGTCTGTCTGCAACAGCACCCTCCCGCTTGCCGCAGGCCCACGAGCTAAATTTAAAGTTGGCAATACTAAGCTTAGCACAGGATAACTAAAAGTAAGTCTTCGCAATACTGAATTAACTGCTGGGATTCTGGGAGTAAGGGTCGGCAACAATAAATTTAGAATTGGCAATACTAAGTTGAGCAGTCTTTGCAACACTTAGCTTAAGTACTGGGATTCTGAGAGTACGTTTCAACAATATTCCATTTAGTTGGCACTGCTCAATTTAAAGTTGGCACTTCTGAATCAAGTCCTTTGAATGCAAGAATAAGTCTTGGCAATGCCAAATTTTGATCTGGCAATACTAGATTAAGCGATGGGAGTCTGAGTGCAATGTAAGGCTTGGCAATTCTCGATTGAGATAATACCAAATTAAGCATCGGGATTCTGAAAGTAAGTCTCGGCAATGCTATTGCCAAATCTAAACTGAGCACTGCCAAGAACTACACTCAGATCCCAATGCTAAGTTTAGCATTGGCAATTCCAAATTGAAACATGCCAAGCCTTACTTTCAGACTCCCAGTGCTGAATTGTGTGTGTATTGACAATTCTAGATTTAGTATTGCCAGATTCCCAGCATTGCGTATTTCTTTGCAAATTCTAAATTGAATATTGCCAAGACGCACTCTCGGGTTCCCAGTGCTTGATTTAGTATCGCCAATTGCAAATTGAATATTGCCAGGCCTTTCTTTCAGATTCCCTGTCATGAGTTTAGCAGCATTGTCAAGACTTCTTCTCAGATTCCTAGTGCTTGATTTAACATATTGCAAATTCCAAATTTTGTATTGCCAAGACTCACTCTCAGAATCCCAGTGGGTAATTCAGTATTGCGAAGACTTACTTTTAGTTTCCCTGCGCGAAGCTTAGTACTGCCAACTCTAAGCTTAGTATTGCCGAGACATACTTGATTTACAGTAGTATTATCTTAATCGAGAACGGCAAAGGCTTGCACCGCACTCAGATTCCCAACGCTTCATCTAGTATTGCCAGACCTAGATGGCATTGCCAAGGCTTATTCTTGCATTCAACGGACTTCATTTAGCAGTGCCTATTTTTAACGCAGCAGTGCCAAGACTTACACTCAGATTCCCAGCGCTTGATTGAGTATTGCCAATTCTAAATTTAATATCTTCCCCCTATTAATGAATGACCCCAATGAATAAAAAATGGAAACCCGGGGCCCGGAACCAGATTTGCACTCCGAACAATTGATTCTTCCATTGCGCCAACACTAAACCAATACTAAAGCCTTGGAATCCTTATTAGGGGGCACTTTTAACAAGCTTCCAGCCCTACTTTTAAAAAGGTGGGTTCCTCAAAAGATGAATTCCCTAAAAGGTTGCTTCCCCAAAAGCTGGCTTCCCCAACAGGGTCCTTTTGCTGGCTAATTAACCTGCCTGGCTGCAAACAAACAACCAGTAAACTGAAAAACAAATAGAATGATACATACACTTTCCTTGTTAAACTCTTACTCGCGGACCTTACAATTCAATCCATTTCCTCCAAATCCTATGTGAACCCTCACATTGTTGGAAAAGCAAAGAAACAAACCCCAAAAAACCAATTAAAAAAATAACAAACATATTTTTGGGGGGATTTATTTATAATAGGGGGGGCCGTATTTATTAATAGGGGGAGAGAATAGTATTGCCAATCAGGCCACTCAGAGAGGCAAACACTTATCAAGAAACACGCGCACAACTCCCAGTCAAGCCACAGCCGGGCTCCAAAGCGACTTTTGGGTATGGTTTTTGGCTCTTCCAGCAATTGCAAAGTAACAAGCCGGGGAATGCAGTTCCGGTACCCAAAAGCACCCGGAGGTGAACCTCGAGTTCTTTAACGACTTTTGGGCTTGCCCTTGCCAATAACCCAGAAGCCACTATCGTTTTAATGGGGTTTCGCTTTTTCGTTCCTGAGGAAAAAACAAAACAAGCAACGCGAAATCGCCGAAGACATATTCTATGACGAAAGAGTTTAGCCTTTCTCGTAGATGATGCAAATGGTCCGAAAAAGTGGTCTGCAAAGCCTTGGCGTACTCTAGGGGGAACAATGGGCCATTCAGCGCCCAGAACGCTCGCCAAGCAGCCGTGACCTTCAAAGAGCTTTTCATGACGTTCTGCGCCTTCGTAAACACGGCCTGACACGGCACCGGACTGCTGCGAAGCCAGCATACGGAGAACGACCTGGGTTCAATGGAACCTCTCGCCTTGAGGTGCTGCACCGCGCCCTTGCGCGCTGTTCGGCACACCTCGGGTCCCGAGCATCTCCAGCGCATGCGCCCACCAACCCATCCGAGGCGGGGAACGTGCGTCTCCGCAGTTTCGATGCTCGTCTCTGCGTCATCGATCTTCTGCATGACTCCTGTGCTTTGCAAGTCCAGTTGGACAGTTTAAAGCTTTGGCTGTCCTGCATGATCATCGGAGTTATTAACGAGTTCGCCCTGGAGATTCTGGGCAGTTTCTCTTGCCGTGCCTCAAGCTGGATGAGGTGCACATCATGCGTGCGGACACACACACACACACATACTATGTGCGGTTATCTCTTTGCTGAGGCGCGCATTGTTTCTCTTGCCTCCTCCTCCGGCAGAGCACCTGAAAGGCAGAGAGCCGGAGTTCCATGTCACGGCAAACCACTGCAAAGCCCGGGCAGACTGAAACCGAGTTTTTCACAAGGGGAACTCTCGGGGCCAATCAAAAACCGCACACTGAGAGCCGTGTCAGGCTGTCTCGCCCACTGCGACTTCGTTCATGCCTCGATTTGCTTCGTCTGCTGCCTCATTGAGAGCTTCGTCCACTTTGGCCGTCTGGACTTGCAGGTTCTGAAGGCGAGCGAGAGGGACACTTGAGGCCCTCCCCAAAGGTCAGAACTAGGGACTCCTAGTGGTTGCGAGAAGTGAGAAGGGTGCATGGGGCTCCTGATGTCTCTGAGTCAGCACACACCGTCGCACTTGCCTCCGCGCTCGTGTCTGAAAGCGTCTGCGCCCGCGCGGTGATGGCTTCCTCGCCCATGTCAGTGCCCAGGTTGGCTTTTTTGGCTGCACGAAGGGAACCTGGCAGGCGCGAAAGTCAGTTTCAAGCCGCGTCCGGACAGAAAGGTAAACAGGTATCCTTGAAAAATGTCGTCGGGACAACCGCCCAGCAAGCAAACTCGGTCGCAAAGGCGAGCAAGTCAGCACTTTGAAACCCAAAACGGCCTTCCACCTAGATGTATTGTCCAAAGGCAATCAGCAGGCAAATGAGTTCCTCGGGTGAACGGTGTGTTCTCATGCGCGTCCAAAAAAAAACAAAAAACGCTGAGCCTCCTTGCCATTGCCAGGGGTTCAAAGGAACAGTTGAAAGGCTGAAAAAGCGCTTTAGGAACCTGGAAGGGTTACGGCACGGCTGGCTAGCCCATTGGTTGACCCTATTTCAGCAGAGTTGCACAACATGTATTTTTTAAACAATGTTTAACAAGCATGTTGGTTTCCCTTCTGGGGGCCGAACCGGTTCAAACATGTTTGTGCAACCCCAACCCTGGCCCGGCCAGCGCCCGCCTTTCTCGCCATCCTTCTTGCAGCGGCGCTCTGATTGCGAGAGCCGCTGCTTGAAGCTCGACCAACAGTTCACCTCGGAAGAATGAACAAAACGAGAAGACCGCCCCTTTCACCGTCTTCCCATGTTGGTTGTGACTTGTGAGCCTTACTATGGCTTTTTGTTCCACTGGGCCTTCAAAACTATGACTCTCATAAAGAGGTGGCCAATAGCGGTTGGGAGCTGCTGAGTTGCCGATTCATTTTGTTCGCTTCAGTGACTTCAGTGTTCGTTGCCCTTCTGAGCGAATCAAACAACAAGGCTTGGCCGAAAGGAGTGTCCCGGAGAGATGTCAAACCAAGGCACAAAGAACATCTGCGTGTTCTTCCCAAGCTTCGCGATGTACTCCATCGTATATTTGCCTGGAATTGCCCACCGAACAGGTCACCGGACCTTGTTGATTTCGACATGCAGCTCAATTGCCACTGAATTTCTGAGGCTGGCGCCAACAAATTTCACACCTTTAACGACAGCATCGCCCAAAGCCCCGAGTGACAGTTTCCTCTCCGACTTCTTCTCCACCGTCATCCAATCCACCCTGTACCGAAATGCGATGCCGTGGGTTTGGTCAGCATTCTCAGCCAGGGGGCTGTGAGTTCTTTGCGATAAGATCCGCCTTGGATCAACCCAGCTGGCTGCAACTTGCCTGTGCAGGCCGGGGTCGCGGCTAATGCGGTGAGGCGCCTGTTGATGACTGTGGCCCTGGCACAGTCAGAAGTGACGAGGCGGGAGAATTCGGGTTCTCGGGTTCGGCCTCAGGAAGAGGCCCTTCAGCTGCTGAACGCTTGCAGGGTTCCAGTTGCCGATCCTCAGCTCAGGCAGGCAGCCAGCCCGCGGGTCCTCTGAGCATTTTCCGAGAAGGGAACCACTGGAGGTCTTTCATGGCTTCCTCAGCTCTCGCATGAAAAATCCGCCGAAAGCTCAGAAGTCTGACAAAGGCCCGACTCGGATCGAACATCACGGGCATAGACGGGCAAGCTGCCGGGTCTGATTTGGTCAAGGCGCAGCCTTGTGCCATTGGCGTTTTTCCTCCGCGGTTTGGTGGATGCTGCCGCGCGGCACGGGCTCCAGCCTCGGCGTTTGCATTCTCAGGGCCCCCAAGGTGTCTGGGCGTCCGGGTGCGAACGTTTGTCCATCAGGGGTTTTAAAGGGATTGGCCTTTTGCGAGCTTCTTGCCACGCAGACAAGGTGGGCACGCGGACGCGTGCAATTCAAGAGTCTTCCTTCCGATTGGTTCGACAAATGGTATCCTCGTGTGGTTGGGGTACCCCCTTAAATGCCTGGACAGGAGCCGGAGGGGTGTTTCTTCTGTGGCACCTGCGGGTCCCTTTTTTAGTTCCAACCCTGCACTAGAGCCCAGCACCACAAAAGCAACCCGCGACCCACCCTTTCCAACCAGAGTTCCAGGCCCTGAAAAGATGCAAAACGGGAGTGTTGCCGTTGAATAAAACGCGGCCAACATTAATTCTGCTCAAGTGGGGGAAACGTTAGGTGCGCAATGCTGCGCTGCAAGCGCGACTTCCCAGCCGGAGCCTGTCTGATCAATTTTTAGGATCAGCGCATATTGGACAATGTCCCTACCCCCGAGGCGTGTTTCTGCTAGTGGCAAGTCAGCTCGAGGGAGGATGGGTAAAGTTTATGGGTACACCCTTCGTATACTTTCACAGATGCATGCGCATTCCGTATTCCATTCTGGTGTGTGTGTGTGTGTTCACAGCTAGGGGGTAAATCAAAATACACATAACAACAACTTAGGATTCACCGCTCAGCTGTTGACAGCGCACTTTTCAGGTAACGACGCATTCGGAAACACACGCTGATACAAAGCTTGTGGAACTGCGTATTGGCTGTGGGAAGGCGTGCATCTTCTTGCGCTGCCTGTCCTTGCAACCTGCCTTTGACAGCTGCTTTGCCAAGCTCTTACTTCTTTCTCAACAGGTCTTTAGTGAAGTGTGCAAGGGCCCTGCTTCAGAGCTTATGGAGGCCACTTGGTGCAATCCGTGCAAGGTAATTTGGGGACTTTGGGCGCTTGAAGGCGCGTGTTCTTTCCATGCCCTTGCCACGAGCCCTGGCCCTCCCAACTCCCCGGTACCCCAAGTGCTGAACGGGGTGTGACCGTCAATTCTCTCCGTCTTCTGGCGGGCCGGGTTGCAGCGCACACTCACGCGCAAGGCTGAGCCGCGCATGAAGGAAAGGGCATAGTTGGGCAGCGCCCACAAAAACAACCCATTCACTGTTTCTCTGTCAGCTTCAGGGTAGAACCACTTAAAGAAGCTTTTTGGCGCTCCGCTATTTTGATCCCCTCCCCGCCTCACGGAGTCGCTGGAAGTCCTCGTTGCTCACTTCGATCTTGCCGTCCTGCGACGAGCGCTTGCGGGACACCAAGGGCCCGGTTGATCCAACCTCATGTGGGGTTTCTGGGGCCGAGAGAACCCTTTCAGAACTTCAGCTTACGCGCCTTGGCCTTGACAAGCGCCTTGAGCCTGCAATAGTTCCGCAAAGCCTGCAGCGCCCTCAGGTGCGCCGCGGTGTTCGCTTGTTGCCTGCGGGTTCCCGCGCGAGACCCGTGCACGACTCACGCGCGCGCGCTATTTCACTCTCTCTGGGGTCACCGTGGACGTGAAACACAACTCAAACACAAAGCCTCGTCCCTTCGGCCGCAGTCATGTCCTGAGTTGCTGCTCAAGTTGAGCCACGCGAACTAGATAAATGGGAAAAACAGCTCTACGCCAAGACTCCAGGAGCCAACGATTGAGGTTGCCGGAGTCTTCACAACTTGCATTGTAGCCGCTCATCGCAGCGTGGGTCATCGCCTGCCGCACCGATGCAGCGCCGAAATGCCTCTCCCATGGCCCCAACTCGCAGGCGCCTTGAGAGTTTTCCATCGTTGCGTGCTGCTCCTGAGCTCGCGCAAGCTGCCGAGAGCCGAGAGCCGAGAGCCGAGAGCCGAGGGCCGAGCCGCGGCTCCGGGTCTTCGTGAAGGCTGATCGCACGCTGGGCCAACTTCAACGCCTGGGGCGGTCACAGTCGCGCGCCCGCGACGGACAAACAGAAAGCTCAGCACGCCGAGTGCAGGGCGCGACCCAGCGCAAACAAACGGAAACCTGAGAAGCGGTCCCCTGGTGCCAGTTGAGCTCGAAGTTATGCTGGTTCAACCCATGCCAACTCTGCCTTTTTGTTGGATATGCCTCCCTCCTCCTAGCACTCACCCACGGGCATAACATTTTCTGCGTTGACTTTGTCCAGGCATGTGCAACAAAGTTGGTGCTGACTTTCAAGATATGAACTCTCTGCTAAGCTCGCGGGTTTTCCCACATATGCGCCGCCCCCTGAGCCTTGGTGGCTCTGGAGCGATGCAAAAGGTTCATCTGGAAAATGGTATCCACATCAAGTGATCCCGTGAGGCCAATGAGGCTGTCCTTTTCACAGCTCACATCATTTTCTTTTGGCCTCACGGGTCTGCCACATTCCCGTCCGGATCATATCTTCCAGCGGCTGCATGTTGCCACCGCGCTTCGTGAGGACATCCGCAATCATCACCGGATGAGGCACCCAAGCGACTTTGGTGCCCGATTCACATAGCCCTTGCTTGATCACCTGCATCTCCAGGGCTGTCCTTCGATCTGCAGCGTAGCCGGCCATTTCCTTGCTCAAGTGGTCGTAGATGGATTTCGCGTCCACCACGGCCACATTCCGCAACTCTTCACTCTCTGGATTTCCAAAGGCCTTCAACCGCTTCTCCTGCAGCTTCTGCTCCCACTGTTTCAGGTTGAAGTGAAAGTCGACCAGCTCCTGATACAGGGTTGCGGTCCACATCATTTCTCCCAAGCCCTTGCTCAGCGATTGTGTCTCCGCCGCCAGCGTGGAGTTGACGACTCTGTGGATTTGCCCGGACCTCCAGTGGATGAGGTTGCACTTCCCCTTCTCGCCGTTGGCCACCTTGCTCTCGTAACAGATCACGCAATAGCCGCCTTGCGACTTGCCGTTCTTGACGTTCGCGTAGCTCGCGTCCGTTACCACACCCCAGCACAGATCTTCCTCCGGGATGTGTTGAATTCTCAATGCCAACTCGGAGCTTGCCTTGGCCTTGTCAATGCACTTGTTGAGGTCGATGACGTCCTCGACGGTCAACTGCCTCAAACTGGATGCCACCAAACTTGCAGTTGCAGCGCAATCGGGCCTTCCCTCCTTGGCTGCCCAGGTAAGAGCGCCTACTGCCGCTCTAGCTGCTTCCTTCTCCTCTTGCGTAGCCAGCTGTTTCGGCTGGGACTTCCTGCCGACTTCTAGCTTGACGGGCTCCAGACGCTCGGTCACGTAGTTCTTCATGTCAATGAGGAATCCGCCCTGCTTGTCTGACCTCAGTCACCGGGCGTTGAAGGAGACACCGTTCTCCGCCTCGTCCAAATAGGTGAACTTGCCAAAGACGAACCTCTCGCGAAGCTTGTCAATCTTTAGGAAAAAGGCAGGGCCACCCATGAGCAACAAGTCGTCTACCTCGACCGTCGTCAATCCCACCAGGACTTGACTGCCTGCATCATTCCCAGCTCCCTCAGCGCTCTCTTCAGCGTTTTCCGCCAATGAGCTGGGGCGTCTCCCAGTCCATAGGCTCCCGCCAGCACCTCGATCAGCTGCTCTGCCTTCAAGCCGGGAAGTCCACCTTTAGGTTGACGAGCATATAGCCTTCCGGAAGGTCTCTTAAGCTTCTCCGACTGCATGAACGCATTCTTCAGGTCGCCCACCGCTGTCCGCCAACCTTTGCTTGCTGCGATTTGCATGCACACTGCAATGTGCCTGGTCGTTGCAGTTGGGGCATGCCTGCTTAGCTGCATGAGGTCCGGATCTTGATCGCCTCGAATACACCATCGACTCTTTCTGGAGGGTGGTTGTCCAGGCTGATCTGCAGGCTTCCATCGACGCACCAACCTTGACGGCAGTATCCTCTCAGCCGACAGCACCTTCACCGCTTCAGTGGCTTGCACCTTGCTCCACTCTTCTCCATCAGCCACCCTCCATTGTTCCCAGTCCTCCGCCGGGATATCTTCCTCTTTCTGATCCTTTCTTGATCAGGTAGTGGAACTTGGTGTCCAGGTTGCCGTACAGCTTGAAGTCCGTGAAGCCCCTCCATTGTCTAGGTGGTCCTTCTACCGTCTCCTTGCCTCTTCTCCTCCAATTGTCCACCACCGTCTTGTCACCGCTGTCGAACCGCATATAGGTTTTCCTTTCAGCCAGAATGTTCCGCATGGGCATGGGCTGTTGTTTGGAGCTCCTGGGCACGAACCCAGCGGTGCGAGCCGTGACGTGCACTCTGCGGAGGACCTTCTCGTTTGGCCGCCATTCCCAGTAGTCTTCCTCCTCGGTGGACTCAGTGGGATGTTCATCCACCGACGTCTCAAAGAGCCCATGGTACGGAGTTCCTGGCATCCTCTGCAGCTTCACTCTAACGGGTCCATAGTCGTTGGAGGGCTGTCCTGTCGGGTTGCTTCCTTGAGGTTCCTCTGTTTCTGCGCCAGGGCCACTTATTTCTCTTTCGGGTTCAGGGCCTGCTATCGATGCCTCTTCTTGGGCTCCTTCGGGGTCTCCTCCCTCCTCACTGCTGCTACTGCTGCTGCTGCTGCTGCTGCTGCTGCTGCTGCTGCTTACGGTCTCCTCCTCAGGTTGGGCTATGCGGCGTCGCCTCCGGGGGGGCTCATCTTGTTCCTCTACATCCTCAGGCGGGTGACTCCATTGGCTTATGTCCTTGTATGCCCGTTTGCTCGGGGCTCTGTTGAGCGAGGCCCTTAGTTCTGCAAACTCCTCCTCTAACAGACCGGCTGCATCACTTTCTTCGTTGGTGGCGCTTCGAACTTGCTCCAGCGCGCACTTCCAGAGTTCTCCTCTCATAGACACCCACGCATTGGGACCTGCGTGGTTGTCCTCCTCACTTCCTTTCTTTCGGGGCAGGGGACTACGGTACACATACACCAGCTCTCCCTGAGAAAAGCTCCTCAACTGCCTCGGCCTGGCCTTCATAGCTTTGTCCAATGCCGCCTCAGCACCTGCTCGAATGAACGCCTCCATGGCTTTCCTCCGAATTTCCAAAACTCTCCTCACGGGCTCCCCTGCTCCTGCAACTAACATCGCCGGATCGTAGGGGTCGTCACTCCCCAGGGTTCCAGGAAGGCGGGCGTTCTCTCCCAGCATGCGCTGTGCTGGACTGAATCCGCTCTTGTGAAACAGCCTGTTCTTGGCGGACTCCACCGCGTAGATGCACTGCTTCCATTCCTCCCAGTCTAGAGGTGGGGCCTCCTCCCTCATCTTCAGGAAGGTGTTTTTGGCCAATCCTCCATGCCGCTCCGTTCTTCCTTGCTGCCATGGGGCTCGGGCTCCGATGGTCTTGTGGGCTGCTCCAAATTGCATCATCCGGTCAGCAAATGAACCAAGGAATTCTCTGCCCTGATCGCAGATCACGATGTGGGGCATTCCAAAAGTGCGTCCCCAACTCCGACTGAACGCACTCCATGCCTCATCCGCTGACTTGCCCATCATTGGCTCTAGCATCTGGTAACAGCTTCCCCAACATACCATGCTCAGCACTGGCTTTGCTTCCCGAGGATTGAGTCCCGGGAAGTACACCACGTCCACTCCAATCACTTCTCCAGCTTGGAGACACCGAGGTGGCACAGCTGGTCTTGCGGCCTTTGGCTTCACTTGTGCTTCACACACACTGCACCTGAAGTCCTTCTGCACGTACTTACAGACTGGAGCTCGCGCCCTCGCCAATCGCAGCATCCTAGCAAAATCTGGGATGGAAGGATGTCCCAACTTGGAGTGAAGCGACTTGACCATCTTCTTTTCTTCCGGAGTCAACACCTCCGCGGGCTCTCTGCCCTCAGCCTCTTCTTCCTCCTCTGGGGGGGCTGCCTCCTGCTGTTGCTTCTCCTCATCTGCTGCTGCTGGGCTGGAACCTCTTCCTGATCCTCTTCTCCATGGAATATGGTCACCATCACTGGGGCAGGCCCCTGCGGTATCTTGGCCTGGGACTCCAGGTGGCATACCTCTCCACCTCTTTCCAGCCTTCTTCATTCCAGATCCACGTTGACCTCCTTGGATGCTTAGCTTCTGACACTCTTCCTTTGGAGTTCTGGAATCGATGTCCTTGATGCGTGACCCGAACTACGTCTCCGCCCTTTCCCGGCTGCCATGGTGCTCCTCTGGAGATCCTCTCCACCTCCTGTTGACTGTAAGCCGGGCACTCTCTTTTCACATTCTCTTTCCTCAAGCCTCGTAGCATGGCCACACATAGCTTGTGGGGATACTCTTGCGCCTTCTTGGCCAGTCCTTGTAGAAGATGAACATGTTCATGCTTTCCTGGACAGCGCAGCGAAAGGTGCTTGGCCAATTCTTCTCCAGTGACCATAAAGTCCGTAGGCTTTCGATTGGGCCCGCCTCCGACTTGTAGTCCATATTGACACTGATCGGCCCTCACTCTTTGAACTCCAGGAAGCCTGAGCACCCTCAGTACACACTCCTCCTTCCAAGCCATGCTGGTCGCCGGGTGCTCAAAGATCGCCCACTTCTTCCGGCGTACTTGCCATTCGTATATCTTCATGCTGAACTCCAAGTGCTCCACCGCCTCTGCCAGCATGATGATCGCCTTGCCTCCTTGCATCCGAGGATAGTTCCACCGTTGGAGCGATGAGAACGGACCACACGGAGGGCATACCACCACCAGATCAGGATCCTCCTTCTTCAACTGGTCCCAGCATCTCCTCTTCCCTTCTAGAGTCCGAAGGTCGAAGCCATTCACCAGATCAAATGAGGATCCAGGTTTCATTCCCATGTTCTGTGCTTGCCTTGCAACTCTTGGCTGAGAGAACACCTCCGACACCACCAGCTCCTTCAGCGCCTTCTGGACCTTCTTCCACTGCTTCTTTCCCAGTGACCTCATCCTTTCTTCATGATCCAAATCGTCCAGATTTTCCGCCGCGAAGATGCCATAAACCTCCTTCTCTTCATCCTCTGGTAGTAGGCCTGTTTCTCGCCTCGCTTGTCCGTTCTCCACCACCCAGTACGCTCCGAGTACTCGTCGCGCATGATGAGGTTGATCCTCATCCTCGAGCTGCATCTTGATCCAGTTGCTCCTCATGCTGCCGCTGATGATCCTTGTAGCCCAGGGGGCGCACCTTATCTCACTCGGCTCCTTCACTCCATGGATTGGTCCTTGCTCTCTGCCTCCTTCTGGTGTGCCTCTGCAAATGCCATCTGCCTTTGCAGCTCCTGCGCTTTGGCCATGACCTGTTGATGCAGTGCTGGGTTCTCCATTATCTCCCTGGTTCGCTCTTCTCCCATGGCCGCGGTCAGGAACAGCAGTTGTGACTGCATGTGCTGTAGCTGCAGCTGATAGGTTCCGGCCTTCTCCGTCATCTCGTGTCGTGTTTCGCGATCGTGGCCTTTAGCGCCTCGCCATACTTGGTCTCCGCCTCCTGTATCACTTGCTGCCTTACCTGTTGGGCGATTTGCTCCTCCTTCTCTCCGTTCGTCACCTCTTCCAAGTTCTTGATCACCGCCGCCTTGAGCGCCTGCTGCTCCAGCTCGTCCCACTTGAAGAATTCGCACACCGCTGCCTGGCATCTCCAAAAGTGACGACCCTTTGTGGGGCCTTCCTTCCTCACCAGATGCCTTTGAGCTGGCATTCGACATAGAAATAGCACAGAGAGTGGTTCCTTGGGCGTGCTTATCGTCGTCGCGTTCTCCTTCACACTCTCCTGTCGCGTCTTCTTCTGCACCACCTCCATCTGCTTCGAGGTTGCGTGCCACCGTTGATGACACGTTCCACACCAAATCTCGCGGGAGTACTGGTTGCCTCCTCCCTTGAGCTCTGCAGTCGGATGTGGGCATTCCTCCAACTTCATCCGCGGGATCTCCTTGCACTTGCGCTTGTCGAGCAACGGGGCAGTCTTGATCACCTGGGCGTAGTACGCCTGCTTGTCGCTGACCACGTTCCCGTCTTTCTGCTCGGCAAACTTCAACGGCCGTCCGGAGAGGCAAGGCGTGTACACCGGTGCCATAGACGAAGATGAGCCATGCGAGCAACCACCCAGTTGCCCTGCTGCCTTTCCACTTCCGAGTCTGCTGGCGAGCGCTAGCAAATCGCACACTCCCTGCAGAGTTACTCGCCAGTTTCGAATTGCTCGCCTCCCATTGTGCTCCCGATGCTCCTTGAGCTCCACCGACTCCTCGAGGTTCGTGCTCAAGATACGGTTGAAGAGCATCATGGCGTGAGACACTCCGGCAGGACTTACCATTCACCTTCAGCTGATTATCACTCATGGCTTCGGCAGTCCACCCGTGCCAGCTGAATCCAACCTTTTTGTGCTCCCTATACATCTCTTCGGTTCTTCCGTGTTGAAGGGCCTCCCGGGGAAGTTTCCAAGTTCCCTGATGAAAATCACATACATCTACCGCGATATGTCCCGTGGGTAGCCGATGAAGGGGTGCCTCAGCCTCCACCGTGGGGAACTCAATCTTCATATTATGCAGGTCAATGATGCTCTCCAGGGAGGTCAGAAGGGAGATTGGGATTAATAGTGGAACCGGCTCCTCGACAATAGTCACTTCAAGCACTCCATTGATGCCGGCGATACCCAGAAGGATCTCTGCCATGCCACAAACTGAAGCCAGACCTCCTATGCCTCGAGCTTTCCCTGTTTTCTGGAGGGGGTTCACTTTCAATCCATGACGCTTCAGCTCCCCGTGCAGGTTTTCCAGCGCGCTTTTCCCAATCAAGCCGCCCTGTGCGGTCCACTACTCCTTGGTGGCTCTGCATGGTGATGCCAGTGAACTCCTCAATCTCTGGCTGCTTGCCTCTGTGATTGATGAGGCTGCCCAGGGTCACCGCGCTGCCAAACAGGACTTCCCCCTGCTCCTGCTCCGTGGACACCTGGAAGAAACCACTGGGTGCTGCGGAAGATGGCGATCCTGAAAGAGGCTAGCCTCGCCTTGTTCTTGGCGACCTCATCCATTTCACCTCGACATTCGCGTGCCCAGCGCCCGACCTTTCCGCATTTTGCGCATCGAGTCCGAAGCTTCAACATTTCCACATGAACATGCCGACCTCGCCCGTCACCGCGACCCTTGCTCTTGCCCTTGCCCTTGCCTTTGGTCGGGTAGTAGCCGCGGGAGTTCTTCTGATCTCGGATGGCTTTCCGCACTTCCTGATACGTCGCCAAGGCTTCCATGAGCTCCTCCTCTTCGTAGATCTCATTCAGATCTCCTTCTCCGAGGAACACATATCCTTCACCTCATCGTCGACCAAGTAGCTCCGTCCCCCCTTTTCCTTTTGCACCTTTTCCAGCTTGCGTAGAGCTCCAACTACTGATCCGCGATCGTACTGGCCACTGATCCACGTGGACACTTGGTCTTCCTGCACCTGACTGAGGTTGGCCTGGCGGTAGATCACGTAGCCGGTCACCTTGGAGTCAAGCTCGATGCCCTCGTCCTTCAGCTCCCTGAAGGCCGAATCCGCGCGAATGACGAACTCTCCGAACGTCTCCTTCGCGCGCCGGGGCTCGCCATAGATGGCCTTCTCAAAGGCCTTGGGCACCGCCGTCTCCAGGTAGGGCTCGAAATGCTCTTTCAGCTTGGCTATGATCTTTTCCAGGCCCGTCTCCTTGACGATCTCTTCCACCGGGACCTCGTCGACTGCCGACTTGGCCGCTCCACTCAGCTGCCTTTTCACCTTGGTTCCATGCTTGGCCTTTGGCACGTCCGTGTCGTGCTTCCACAGGGTTAGCTCTCGCAGCCACTCTTTGAACTTCTCTGCACCGCCGTCAAACTGCGGGGCCGGGTCCCTGTCCTTGAACGAAGCTTGTCCTTCAGCCCCTTCGGCCATGGCGCTCTAACCGGCTCCCGCTACCACTATGAACTCTCTGCTAAGCTCGCGGGTTTTCCCACATATGCGCCAAGTGCGCCCCCTGAGCCTTGGTGGCTCTGGAGCGATGCAAAAGGTTCATCTGGAAAATGGTATCCACATCAAGTGATCCCGTGAGGCCAATGAGGCTGTCCTTTTCACACAAGAAGAAACGGAAGAAAACGGGAAAAAGAAACGCCCCACAGGTCTGGGCGGTTTAATTCGCGGAATCCAAGGCACGGTCTTGCACCTCGAGCCCAAGCTCCTGAAGCCCGGCTGCCAGCATGTGGCCCTCGGCCTCTCGGCCTCGGCTATGCTCCCAGAGGCACAAATAGACACACCGATTTGCGCCAACTCAGCCGCCCACGTTCCTCCATCATCTCAGTGCTCATGTAGAAGCCTCACATCAGGCTTTGGTTAAACGCCTGCGAATTCATATTTCTTGTTTCTCTCCCGTTTTGGCAACTCGACAACGGGGTCGGGAGGCTGTCAGCTGCTCTCAGCAGCACCTCGGATGCTTGGGCAAAGCTGGCCGCGTCCGCGTCACCTTGGACGGCTGCGAACTCCACGCGCAAAAGTTAAATTGTGAAAAAGAGCGCCTGATTCCGACCCCTCTCCTAGGGTTTTTGTCTATTTGTGTCTTCAACTGGTTGCGTTTGGGAGGCCGAGAGAAGGGGGGCAAGCAACTGCTCGTCCCAGACACTCAGCATCTGCGATTCTATGTCCTCGAGCTCTGCCCGCATTGAATGTCCCAGAAGTGGAAGGCAGGCAAACCAGGCAGCAAAGATCGCCATGAGCCCTCGGCTCAAACGGGGCCAAGTTCCGATGACAAAAACAAGCGAGACTCCCAAACATTCACCACATGGCCGTTAATTGGGCACGAGGGGACCGAAAGAAATGAGCACTCTGTGATACTCCAGGATGCTTTTCTATCAAGGCAGCAAACCGGCAGCGCATGTCCTCCAAGCACTCACTTCACTACGATTGAGGCGGTTGGCGTATGCGATGGTTACTCCGCAAATTCTATCCGCTCCGCGCTCCCGATAACTAAGCTACTGATGATAATGGCGATGGTGATGATAACATCCGCCACCACCACAACAAGAACAAGAACAAGAACAAGAACAAGAACAAGAACAAGAACAAGAACAAGAACAAGAGCAAGAGCAAGAGCAAGAGCAAGAGCAAGAGCAAGAGCAAGAGCAAGAGCAAGAGCAAGAGCAAGAGCAACAACAACAACAACAACAACAACAACAACAACAACAACAACAACAACAAACAACAACAACAACCACCACCACCACCACGAACAACAACAACAACCAACCAACCAACCAACCAACCAACCAACCAACCAACCAACCAACCAACCAACCAACCACCCACCAATCAACCAACCAACCAAGCACCCACCCACCCACCAACCAACCAACCAACCAACACAACCACAACCACAATCACAACCACAACCACAACAACAACAACAATAACAACAACAACACCAACAACAACACCAACAACCAACAAGCAGCAAGCAGCAAGCAGCAGCAGCAGCAACAACAACAAAAAACTGGAACAAGAACAAGAACAAGAACAACGACAACGACGACGACGACGACGGCGGCGACGACAACGACAACAACAACAACAACGCGCCAGCGACTCGTAAACGTGCGCAACCAACAAGAGTGTTTTGCGGAGGTTTTTACTGTACAAACAAGCACCGCGCCCACCAGGAGAGCCTCCCAACTTCACGACGGATCGACCTATAGATCCGTCAAAAAAAACGCATTTCGCCTAGGCGACACGCACGACGAGAAATGAATCTTACTTGCAAAAATGCCACGTGCAACCAGCTGCCACGCATTGATACAGTGCTGAGTGGGTGCTCTTGAGCTGGTGTGCTTACCAATTGCCACACATCAACTGTCAAGAGACGGCAAGGTGACGTCCCGTGGGACGCTATGCACCGAACCCTCCAGCTGTAATACCAACCACGTAGAAAGGTGTATACGGACGATGCCGTTATAGCCGAACCCGTGTAAACGTTGTAAGGGAGAAGGAATGATAGTTACAACAGTGGTCCTGACAAATGCAGCGCAAGCGAAGTGTTTTCCGCTCTCAATGCCGATCACGTATGAATGCAGCACACATCAGATCTTGAACCTCAATTGTGTCTTGAGCCAAATGGCGATCAATGGAACTTGGTAAGCAACACCAACATGGACCTCAGAACAGCTTCCCAATTTCGGCACGGGGCCTAGAGGGTTTTAACATCCCCCATTTGGGTCGCATTGTTCATCATGCGGTCCAAACACCACAAAACGTTCCACTGGCCACGGCTTCAGCTACGAAATCGTGTCGTGCATTCTTTTACTTGCTATCACTACACCGTTCATTCGTTGTGAAACATGCCGGGTTCGATTGTATGAAAAGTGAAACATTCATCCACCAATCGAAGCGCACTCCCATATGCAGGTGTATACAATACACTATTGTCACGTCATTTGACCACCAGTGAACAATCCAGCTCCCGCATTTGCGCATCGCGCAGCTGTCATCCATGAAATGGGTTGGCCACAAAAGTCCAACAGGGGCGCCTGCTCGTGATCAATCTGCATATCTCCGGCAAAGAAATATCGGTGAGTAATCAATGCAAATCATAGCCATTCCAGATACCATGGACAATGCATAAATAATGAAAAGGATATTATCTATAAGGTAATAGTTCCATCCATGAATATCCAGAGCGTCATAGTCATCGGAATATGTAACCATGTACACATCCAGTCATCTTGGACACATGAATTCAAATCATGACATAAAGTCGTTCCATCGCAATAGTGTCGATGAGACGCAAGCAACGGATGGGGACTAACCCACATCGTGCCGCAATCGACATCTTCACGACGCATACCTGTCCCCAATGGACAGCCTGTGAGTGCGTCGACGGAACTCCTCGTCCAAGTTCTTCTGGGCTTCTCGTGCCCGGACACACTTCTTGTTGTGATCCTCTGGTAACCAGTGCCCTTTCCGAAGGCACCAATCCAGCAGGGGTGTGTCGCACTTGTTCGGGTCGATGGCCGAGATGATGGCGCTCACGTTGACCGTGTAACCATTCTTGCCAAGGTTCAGGCCATCCCTCACGAATGATATATACTTACAGTTGAAAGCCAGTGCAAAGCATCTGAAAATAATATCACCCACCGGGTGCACTCGGTCCTTGACCAGGAGCTTCATTTCGTCCTTGGTGACATCGAGGATTCTCGCTGCAATCCACAGCTTGTAGAATGTGTAAAGTCCCTCGCATTTGCACACCATCATACGAATATAATCTTCACGCTCCTCAACCGATCGGAAGACTCTTGTCCGAACATTCTCCGATTGAGAAATCTTCAGCGCTGTTGATGGCAAAAGTATACCTTCCTGATCGTGCTCGGTGATGTTGGGGTATCTCTTGAAGTCATTGTGGTAAGGGCAGCCCGCTCTCCCCTCGAGCTTGGCATTCATCGTTCTCTCCTCACCACCCTCGAACATCCCCCACATCTTGGACATCTGGAGTGCGATAAATCCTGCCATGTACTGAGCCTCACGCGGCTCATCAAGGCAGATCGCCATCCGCTGGGAACTTATAATATCCCGTGACGCCAGATCAGTGTCGCGGTAATACCAACCGCTGTCTTCCTCTTCTGACGCATAGCCGGATGTATATCCTTGCGTGTCCATGTCGTCATCTTCTCCCGGAACTTCCTCCGCTTCGTCTTCATCCTCCTGTGCCGCCGCATCGTGGTTGGCTTCTTCCTGTGCACGCCTGGCATCTCCCGAGACGTTGGGGTTTTGGTTGTCCTCCTCGTCATCGGAGTTGATGTGGATGTAGTACCTCCCGGTGGAGATCAGTTGCGCCTCGCACTCCAGGCATAAGCAGAAGCAGGTGGGGATCGCGGTCGCACATGATGGACATATCCGGCACCTCAGTCCTTCCCATGTCTCATCATTCAGGATGACGACTTTGCTGATTTCGTCCCGGACCTCGTTGACCTGTGCATTGAACTCCTCCATCTTGTTGTTCGATAGAGTTCGCAGGCACGATTAACCATGTCAACGATGTAGTGCAGATTATCGGCACCTGTCTCAGTCTCCGGCATCCTCTCGCTGATCTTTGCGACGTTCTGGAGGAACATCGCAGCCGACTCTTGGGATGAGTTGACAAAGCCAGGGCAGATCTCGTTCTCCACACACTTCGAGTACGCCCTCTTGATGTCAACGTACTCCAGGCGTTTCCCTCCGTTGCTCTTGCCAATCCAAATGGACTTGACCTCATAGAACGGGATCACGTCAAAGACCATGAATGTCCCATTTGCCGCGACTCCAGCTCCATACCGCGCGAGGGTTGCACTGGGAATGTAGATGATCGCAATCGGATCCCCTTTCCTTACGTTCCGCAGCGTCACCTTCGTCGCCACGTTCATCTCATCCCATGGAGCGAATGCTCCGAAGTGCAGTGCTAGCCTGTTACCGCCATCGATTCCGCCGGGGACTAACCCACAGCGTACGATGCTTGGCAGATTTTCCACATACGTCACATGGAATGCTCCTCCGAGAGAATCACCCATCCTTGCGGAATACCTATTTGCCAGTGCGGATGAGCTCATGAATCCGAAATCACTGTGACCAGTTGTGACTCGGATGCACCAAGGTCTGTACCATCCATCGCATCTGTTGAACATCCTGTCGATGTCGTCCCGACCCATGCCAGCTTTGGTCATTTCCTCCCTGGCCGCCCTGGTGTCGTTCGGGTTCATGATGCTTGGAAACCTTGCTGCCAGGACCTGGAATCTCGATTTCTTGCTTCCAGATTCCTGCCACTTGATCACCTCCATGATGCCCATGTATCGTTTCGCTCTCGAGGTGTTGGTGGGAATATGTCGTTGTTCCGGTCGTCAATGACTGCATCAATGTCGACCCATCCACCTTCGTCGCACCTGAAAGCACTTCCTCGGCAGCTGCCGATCTTGTGTCGAAGGACTCTGCATAGGTCGTGAGATAGCTGGTTTGCTTGGTCTTTCGTAGCAAATACCGAGCGATCATCGCCAATCCTGCATAGTGGAGCACCGTCAAAAGGAGCAACGCAGAAATTGACACTCTTGCCAAGCTGCATCACGTCCACCTGCTCAAGGATGGCACCTTTGGGAAAGTATCTGGGGTCAACGATGGACGCATACGCCCATGGCAAGTGCACATCACTCACGTCGCCATACTTCGGGATGTAGCACGGGATGGTATCACATCCCATCTCGAGCGTCTTCTTGAACGTCCTGTTGTCCCCGCACGGGTTGTAGGTGAGGTCCACGCCACCGCATTGTAGTTCTCCTCCCTCAGCCGTGTCAGCCATCTCCACCAAGTTGATGGTATAGCTATACATCTCGATTGTTTCTTTCCCTGCTTGTCCTCCTCTCTTTCTTTCCTTGGACGTTGATGAGGACGGCTCCTCCGTATCCCCCATATCCTCATCCGATGAAACGGGATCACTGCTGAGTAGCTCACGGAGCATCTTCATCGCCTTCTCATTTCCAGCAGCCTCTTCAATGTCCTTGCAGTCGCCGTCGTGGGCCAGGTTCGCGCACTTCGTGCAGATTCCCATTTCTCCCATGCACTTCTCCATTGACTCCAGGAATCCTAGTGCCGATCTCCGCCCGTCGATCACTCGCTGCTTCTTTTCTTCCTTCTCAGCGTTGGGCTGAGAGCTTCGGCTCGGGTCTGGTGCTTGACCAAGACCGTCATCTTCGCCCTCCGTCGCCT